TGGCACAAGAGAATTCACAAATCCTTTCTTCAACTCCTCAACAATTCCCCTCATTACTATCCACTCTCTCCCATAGTCTGACATCGTACTGCAATATGTCTTTATCTTCTTTAGCCACTGCTTCTGTCTCATAGTAAACACAAAAAATACTAGATAATGCACGTAATGTAAATATGCAATAAATCAGGAATCAAAACTCAAAACATAAGAATAGACTGGTCACAATAACAAATTTTGAAGCACAGTAGATTGCTACGAAGAAATACTGTGATAAACAATAAATGACACAAAAACAAAAAGCAATATCATCTCAGTAAAGAAATATTTAAATATGCAGTATCATTAAAAAGGCATGGCCAGCAGCAAACGAAAGCAGAATGAAGCAATAATTAGCAATAGAAGTTACATTTTCAACTCTCTGCAGCTCAAAAAGTTTTCATATTACAACAAAAATAACTAAAATCACACCCTTCTGCAAAGAAACTGTACCCATGATAAATATTGAGCTCCAAAATATACAAATTCAGCTGTCATTTATTGAATTATTAGTCAATATAGAAATTATCATGACAGGCTTACCAACAGTTGCTGCAAAAATATTTGGTTGTAATAAAGTTCTAAAAAGTAATTTGCATGTCATTATAAAGGGGATGTCCTCACTTACCATAACACTACAGTCAGGACTTGTATATTAAATTATATGCAGTTCTAAAGTCCTCCTATCATATCTGGTCAAGCTACTGAAAAGATCAGTGCACGTTAATATATTCTAGCTTTACATTTAACACAGTAGCTCAGTACATACTTCATGCCGTGCCTCCCCCTCCAGTTTGAATGATAGTGCACCCAAAGTCATTAAGTGGGATAAAGATACAGGGGATCGATGGCGATACTTGGCACCTCTCAATTGTCTCCGGACCAATGCACATGAGCTGTGGGACTTTTATTTCCAGGTGAGCTACCCCCAGTCCACAACTCACTCACTCACTGACTGCCTCACACCAATCAATGCACACAGACTGCCCATTCAAACACACTATAAATCTAATGCTGTGATAATATGGCTGCAAGGAGTCTGGCTATAGTCTCCTTGTCATTGCGAGTTATAAATTACACAGGAAAATCCCTCCAGACAACACCATAAAGCAAATGAAGTAAAACCTCTTAATTCCCCTGAGAAAACAGGCGGTAGCTTTCGTCTTGTGTGGGCAGCTTTAGTGTCTTGTAATTTTAGTGGAAACCGCAGGAGAAGTGTGGCAGACATTTCATGGCTTTAGCTGCACATTAAAGTCTTCTGCACACTTCACCAGACTGAATTTTTAAGAATTGCTTTGCTATTTATTTCAATTATTTTATTGTGTAATACAGAATCTACATATGAACATACTCTAAAATACATTGTTTTTTCAGCCACTTTTCAATTCCACAGCTAATGGTGCATGGGTAAATAGGTAGTTTGTACGCCCAATACCTTTCTAAGCTCTGCAATCCACATGCTGTGACTGTTGGATTTGGGCACTCAGAGGAGTTTGAACAAATAAATGTTCAATCACTGTGTTGTTTATTTGGAAAAAGCCAAATTGACTGTTTAATGCCATCACTGTTTTCTTTTCTAAAAGGCCTCTGTTTAAAATGCTATGCAAATGGTTGTTTGGTTCCCAAATCACAAATGTCAAAAATGTGTTGTCTTTTCATAGTAATAGTTTAATTCAATTGCAATATGTACTCTATGAATACATTATGTGTGTATTGATATGTTCTTGCCGTTAAACATCCCTGTGCTTATAGTTGCATAGTTCAACTTTTGAAGTTTAAGCAGACAAACCTAAGTACGACCAGTGGGACTACAGCTGGAGAAGCACTGCTTTAGTGAACTCCTTCATTAACAGATGTAAATATGTGTGGTCTAATACACTATAGACCAGACAGGAACCCCAGAATTTTGGGCCCAGTTCTGGCACAGTATGTCTTTACCTTCCAGAGACAGCACCAGCGCCGTGCTGCTGTCCCTGTGTTTCCTACAGAATCTACGAGTCTCTAATTTACTGTGACAGACATTTCCTCACATTTCTGCACATAGAGGACTACATCCTTCTTCCCCCTGTTAAAGGCACATGAACATGACTTCTGCTTTAATTCTGACCCACCTGGGCAGAAGGCTCTGGACTAATGGCCAATTGGAGCTCTGGTTGCATGTCAAGTCTGGCTCTATATTGGCTGTGAGAAAAAAATGTATTCATTAAAAAAGGCAGAAGTTGTTATGTTTTCTTGCTTCTCCTGACATTTAAAAGTTTCTTATAATTCAAAGCATATTTCATGTGTTGTCTCTCAGTTCATTTGACATAAATATCCACTGAATGGCACTTATGTGTAAATAATTAAAAGGAGACATCCAGTATTTATGGCACCAGGATGCGCATCATGTTTAATGTTTCAGATGACACATGTTCAATCCCGAGCCAGAACAAATCAGATCTGTCAAAATATAAATAACAAGATGAAATGTGACAGTGTATTTCTATAAACATGCCAGTTTGGGGAAAAAGCCATGAGAAAGCTATGTAAGCCAATTGTGGCATTGTCAACTGTGGCATCATCAGTTACTAAATACAACTTAAAACTGTGTGTCTGTGTTTTCTTAATGATGACTGGTGCAGCTAAATGGAGAATATTTAATTTAATCTTAACTACAGTGCTGCAGAAACAGTTGTATGTTATTACAAAATGTGCTATATAAACAAATAGGATTAAGAAAATGAGCCAGCAAAGGAGATAATTATTATTATTTAAGTTAATATAAGTAAATAAATTAGAAATTGATTTCATGAGAACATCCTCAGTTTAAGTCTTCATCTGATTCAGTTGCGAAGTCAGGTTAACGCCTTGGCACAAGTCTGCACTGTCCAGTTTCAGTTCTAAAGCTCACAAGAAATAATTGAGAATGTTTGAGCATGACTGACCATTGAAGTGGTACATGGATTTGTAGTATATGCACTCCCCCACTGGTGTTGCATAGGCTTTAAATCACATTCAAACATGTCATAGGGTTAAGCTTTCTGATTCACATATCCAATCCTGATCCAGGGCAAATCATAAGATCCGAGGTGACACTTGTAATTTGTCGTAGGAGGACACAGTGACTCTCCTCCTCAGGCTTTGGCTTGACCAACCTGATTTAGGAAGCGGTCGGTGTCAGGCTTAAGTGTAGCATGTCCCCAAGCAAGTCACAGCAAGAGGCCCGGGATAAAAGTCCAATTTTCACATCTGTGTGTCGCCTGGTTTAATGTCTATGAAGTTTTTTGGCTGCTTTACTTCACAAATTTATCTACAGGTTTGTGCGTCAGCCACACATGCGACAGAGGCTCACATGCAGCTTGTACCATCACATCTGGTCATGTCCCTCAGGTTTGCCCAATAGAAGCAAAATATTGAAAACATGAGTACACGGTTTCAATAATTTTCAAAACTATTGTGATAAATTATTCCATATGATGTAAATTGTAATGTTTATTTTGTACTTTTACCTGGCTACAGGTGGACTAAGGGAAATTTGAGGTTGTAATTGAAGATGGATCATACCAATGTATGTGTGGGCACCACATGCCAGAGGAATAATAGTTACTTCTACTGATTGTATATTTTATGTGTTTTATATGAGCTATTAAAATGTCAGTAAGACAAGCTTCAAATTTGAGAATTTGCATCAGAACTCTAAATAATATTTAAAATAACTTGACTAGAACTTTACCATTTATTTTAGTTCATCCACCCACGATACACTAACACTTAAAATGAAGCCATTTAAAATTCACAGTTTTCCACTAACTTTAACCACAAGTGTGGTTGCGTGGAATGACTCATTCACGCCTGTGGTCCACAAAGCCACTCATCCCACTCATTTAGGCCTATCCTCGCGCGCTGCCAGGACCGTTGTCTAAACAAACAGCGCGCATGCAGTAAGGATACAGTAGGCGATATTTGCGCCCGTCTGAGTCTCTATCTGTCACTCAGCTCTGTTCCGTCTCGCTCTGGGAGGCCAACCTTTCAGCATTTCCAACGATGTGCCTCGGAAAAGCTGTTTCCAGGGCAACCAGGGTACCAAATACTCTCCCAGAGGCTTCTCGCTGGTGCGTCCTTTGTTTACACTTTTCATATCATTGTGGGGCATGTGGGCTGCTACAAACAAACACTGATGTGGCCAAGACAGAACTGTGTGGAAAACGCGACTACAGGGCACCAGCTTTGCTCCTTTTATCTCTATTTGGATTTATTAAATATGAGCATGACAATGAGAAATATATATATATATATGTAAAAAAAACATGTCTTAATTAGGTTTTTGTTTTTTTAAATCTGCTGTTTTATCCAATAAACTGAATGAATATCTAAAATGAATTACAAAACTTAAACGTAGTAGCCACTTGTTACGCAGCACCTATGCCTCGCCGTAAAGTATCAGCTGCGTCAGCTCATTTTTGTACTTAACATAGTCTTACGTAACTTAACAACAGATTTACTGTAATTGGTTTGTGTTCATTACCTCGCTCATTTACTGGATTTATTGAAAACCACCTCACGTTCGGCACATTTGGGCATATGCGCTTGCGCGTAAGAAAACCGGGAGCTATCCAAGTGCTGAAATGAGAAAAAGGCGTTCCACTCCCCATTCCTCAACAGAGGCTTTTCTCACCTCACAAGTCACAAATGGTTTCCTCTCCAACGGATTTTTCAGCGTTAACAATAAATGGGAAGGACCACAAACACAATGAAGAGTTTTAGCGCAGCTCTTCTGAGAAAAAACAGCGAAAGAGACTCTGGTAAAACAAAACTATGATCCGCGGCTTCACTGAGGAATGCCTCGCGCGTTATTGTGTGACACGAAAAGAGCCAAAAAACAAACGCGACTCACTCAGAGACAAGCACCAATCTGGATTATGTGTTTGACCAATGTCAACATACGGAAGAAATAAGGACGCGAGCGCACGAGAAAAGCACCAGGAATGAATCGCTCTTTTATCAAGGTTTTGGCTTTATTTACTTATCTAATGGAGCCGATCAACTTAAGGTAAATTTGTTTTATTAATTTACAAAATGCATGTTTTGTTCAGTGGTCAAACCAAAATGTGACCCCAAACGCGCGTAAATCTTTTTGGTGAGCGTCTACTTTCCAGTGCGCTTTACGCACGCACTTTCATTTTTTGTGTCAAGTATCGGTTTTGCTGCGTATCATTTTGTCGGCACGCGCAGCTTGGTTCTGTAGGTAAAAAGAGTGATCTCCAAACTATCCAAACTCTGCGCGCCTTTACACCGATTCGGGTTAGTGGCTCTCATTGCCTTTGTGTGTTTCAGAGTTGTGGAAGCTAAGGAGCATGACCCCAGGTCCTCGTCAAACCTGTCTCCATCAGACTTTCTCGACTCGCTCATGGGCCGTACATCGGGCTACGACGCACGAATCAGACCAAATTTTAAAGGTTGGTCAGTCATACCCCTCATTCCATTTACTCATATGCACAGAGCCACCACCCTGACAAACAGTCGCATGCTGAAGGTGCTTCTTTTGCATCACTTTTCATTTCTCTCAGTTGCATAAACACTTCAGTTTCAAATGATGTCAGGACGCACTTATGGTGGCTGTTGCTTGGATACGGTACTGCCACTTCATTGATAAGAACAATCAATCAGCTCTGGACAATAACATGACTGCCTCCTTGAAATCATACATAATGTTTTCTTTTCCTCATATGGCAGTACTGTTTCCTTAACCAAACCTATGTAAAAAAAAAAAAAAAAAAAAAGTCAAGTGTCTGGGTGGTACTGGCAGCACACAGGATGCCACCATGACAGGCTAAATGACGAATGGTGCCCCCATGGCAAGGCTGCAGGCTACTGACTTCCTCTCTTGTTGTCATGTTGTGAAGCTGGTGAACACACGCAGCATCTGTGAGTGGGAATTGAGCTAAGAGAAGCGGAGTAGATGGTCCACAAGGTTTAGCAGGCAAGGTCTACAATAGAATATAACCATACTTCTTACAATGTGGAGTTAATTAAAATATCTTTTGGTCCTAATTTCCACATTATCACAACTGAACAATATCTGACATGTGAAACAGCACATTTTAATATGGGGAAGGCACAATTTATAATATAACTGACATCCACTGAAGTTACAGCTAAAAATATATTATGTGTTAAACTAGCAAAAGCTGTATTGTGTTAGTTCTAGAAATCCAGGCAAGGATCAACTTTTTGGCAAATAACCTTAACAGTTTTTTGAGCAACATTTGCAACTTTTTAAGCAGATGAAGCACTCCTCACTCTGTACTAATGTGGCACCCAGCAGAGTGAGAGAAAAAATGTTCCTGTTGAGATGTAAACAGATGACAGTCATACCTGAAGCTGGTTCGTACTTCCGAAGGGTGACCTAGATTTCTTGTGCTGACTTTGTTCAGAGTTCCTCCTCTCCTTTTTGTTCCTCTGCCTCAACTCTTACGTGTTGCTACCTGCCAACAAACACAGGCAAATATTAACACTGAGCTTCATACAGTATTAATGAGGAAAGAAAGCAGTGGAAAGATTTTGAACTCCTGTCCTCAGAGAAGAGGGTAAAAAGCTTTGACTTGAAATAACGTAACACATGTTGGCTGAGGTGAAGCTGACTTAAGTATATTTTTGAGTTTGTATGTATCTCCCTGTGTACCTTCCACTACCATCCCTAATCAGAGCTTGGTCTGACACAGAAAAACATTGTGTTAAGTGTAAGTATTTGCTTTTTGTGCATATATTTTGTTTATGATTTAATCTCTATGACACTTACGAAAGCTTTTAACAGGGTACTCAGAGTGGAACACGGTAAACTCAAATCTGAAGAAGGGAAGTGTTTTTACAGTGGTGCATGCAATATACTATGCTACTTCAAAAGTACAGCTGTACAGAAAAAGTATTCTCTTTTCTCAATGGATTTAGCACATACAGATAGCATGGATGAGGTAAAGGCAAATCGTAACCAAGTCTGTCCTTGAGACTTTCATGTCATTGTAATGTCCATTCCACAGGTCCTCCTGTAAACGTTACATGCAATATTTTTATCAACAGTTTCGGCTCGGTCACTGAGACCACCATGGTGAGTGCTTTGGCATTCTCTGGCTAATTCCTCTTGTCTTGTCCATTGTGTCACAAACTGCAGGTCCACCAGTTAATGTCACCTGCAACATATTTATCAACAGCTTTGGTTCTATAGCAGAAACTACTATGGTGAGTTGGGTGCTGCTCTGGAGTTAAGGCTGAATCATGTTATATCATTTAGTTTAATTCATTTCACTCATTGTTTCAACTCATGTGGAAGCTTATTGGTGGCACCAACCATTTCAGACAGATGAAAATGTGTTATATTTAAAACATATATTGATCTCCATTGTAGGGAAAAGTATCCTTTGAGGAATTGGCTCGAATCAGATCTTGTAATAGTATTTAGTTATGTTAAATATGTGTGGGTTTTGAGCAAATGAAAAAAATAATTTCTCCAGAGCAAGTAGATCTTTTAGATTTATTAATGCCAAAATGAATAGGTGCATTGAAAAAGGGCTTTTATATGACACCTTTTCTTCTTTTATGTAATTTTCCTTAAGATGATGTAGTTTTGCACAGTACCGCCTGTTCCAGATCCTCATCCCTCTCTGCATCAGAAGCAGTTAATTAATTGTGCGTGGCAGATTAAGTGACGTGCAAATTGCCATAAGCGCACAAAAATAAAACCTGTGCGTCTATTGAAACTAATCATGATCAAAGGCTTTCTAATGAGCGATAATAGCACTGTATAAAAGGAGGCTGTTCATTGGCCCCAGCTCAGGATTGGTGGATCTGGAGATTGCTGTGAGTGTTTGGGGACCGCCAATATGCTGTGGAAATGTCAAACTACATAAAGGCCTCTCATCACACTGGCATCTCAATTATGATGAGTGAGTGAGTTCTGGTGACATGCAGCTTACTAACTGCACTGTCAAAAGTTACCCCATTAGAACTGTCACATGAATGTATGATTTAGTCTCTGTTATGACTCTTACATAATGAGCAATTAAATATGGATAACTATTCTTCACTTTGACTACAGATGTATTTGTGTGTCACAGGGATGTTTAGCAGATATTTACTGATCCACAAGGGAAATGATTTAATGCATACATGTACATTTAATTCATACAGGTACACATTTTTATAAGCATTGGTAATTTTCAGATTCTCAACTGTGATGATGTCATACTCCCAGATGGGGGGCAAGAGCCAGATTTCCCATTAATTACACTGTACTTTACCATGAAATATCCAAACGATAAATTCACAGATGTTAAAGGTGCACTGTAACTTTTCTGGTGGAGAGTCCGCTGTCAGCTTGTGTCCATGGAGCTGTTACTGTTTTGTCTGGAATGTTCCACGGTAAAACATTAAACTCATCTATCTTCGTCAAGATGAGCAGAAACCAAACTAGTTCAAGATACAGGTCAGATCTGTGCAGACGTGTCTCAGTGTATCGTAAGAATGCCTGTTTTTCTTTTAAAAAATAATAACACCTATAATGGAATAAATGTAAAATAGACTAAATTTAATAGCGTACTGTGGAAAATTACAAGCTGTTTTCTTGTAATTTTCAGATGGTGGACCCTCTACCAGAAAAGTTACACAATGCACCTTTAATCCTTTAGTATTTTCAATTATTGAGTAAACCCAAGAACTGTATTAGTTAATATTGGCCTATAGGATGTTTTGATGTCATCTGAAACTCAGCTACAGTAACCAAGATGAACAGTATTCCTGAACAGCAGTAAATACAAATTCTCAACTGAGGCTTCCTTTGATTAAATATTTAGAACGGAGAAGAGCACATGATGCTTTTAAGTTAGCCCCACTTCAGCTGAAAATACACACATTCATTTTAGGCTTTACAATTAAAATAATATAGCTTACACCTCTTCATATTGTACCAAAAACATTGCCAAAGGATCAATTCAAACTAAGCTTACACAGGCTTTGAATGCAATCCCATTTGACTTCTCCAAACAATACTAAATCCTAAATAAAACAATACACAAACATTTTCTTAATTTTATAGTCATGTATAGTCAGGCTCTTTACATGCCAATTATGATATTATAGGTAAAGGGCCCATATTAAACTATTTTCTGATTCATGTTATAAGAATCATACCTGGAGTTGTGTTTAGTTTCATTCACACAAACCTGCAAGTTCTTCCAGCAAATAGAAAACACTCTGTTCCACCTTGTGATGTCATGTGGTAAAACAAAAAGTGCTCCACTGTGCTTTTAAACTTCATACACCTTCTCTAGAATCATTTGGATGATTCTGAGACCTGGAATTGCCCATCTCTACTGTAATGTAAATGTAAAAGGAGCTAACTTGAAAACTGACATTAGCCAGGCTGGTGCCACCTAGAGCCTCTGCTCAATTTTCTTTCTCTCCAGCGACTAATTCAGGAATTGGAATACACTAGACGGTTTGCAATAACCTAGTCCGGGCACCAGACAATCAGTGAAGAGTCATATGTTCTGTGTTGTTAACGATTCCTGAGATCGAGGATTTAAAGCCGGAACAAAGAGAATGTTTGGTGAATTTTATCAAGGGGAAAGACATTATATTGCCCTTCTTCCTACAGGATTTGGGAAAAGCTTACTATACCAGTTAGCCCCGTTAGCGGTGCATTACATATGTCACGACCAAATAGCAGCAACTGGTTAAATGAAAAAAGTACCCGCCTACCGTCAAGCAAATGAATTCTAACACTGGAAGGTCAGATGGTTTCTACAAAGTGAAACCAGCTGATGAATCATGCTATCGTGACATCACAAGGTGGAACAGAGCGTTTTGAGCTTTGGAGGTGTTGCCAGACTAATAAAAAAAGGATTACTCAAACATGTGTAAATTAAATAAAACACAACTCCAGGTATGTTTTTGAGGAGGCTAAATCCTCACAAGAGTAAATTATGCATAATATAGGATCTTTAATTATTTCAAGTTTATTTCTCCATCCATTGTGTATTTGTCTGAGAGTGTATTGTTGCAACTATGTTTATGTATTAGTAATGTTTTCCTGTGATTGTGAATGCTACCATGATAAAACACACATACAGTATCTTGTCTGCGGCATGCCACCCCACTCACTGGACCACTGCTCAGACAATATTCACATCTCCTTGTTATCTCCACAGGATTACCGAGTGAACATCTTTTTGCGTCAGAAGTGGAATGACCCCCGGCTGGCGTACAGCAAATACCCCGACTCCTCTCTGGACTTAGACCCCTCCATGTTGGACTCCATATGGAAGCCCGATCTCTTCTTCGCCAATGAGAAAGGCGCCAATTTCCATGACGTCACCACGGACAACAAGCTGCTCCGGATCTTCAAGGATGGAACGGTCCTCTACAGCATCAGGTGAAGCAGAGCTGCAGATAAGACATAATGAGAATTCACATGTGATATTCAGATTGGGAAAAAAACGAGGACAGTGAGATATTGAATCCAAAGTGTTGATGAAGAGATTTCCCGAGGACATGTTCGTTTATTGCTTTCTTACATTCTTTCCCGTGCACATCAAAGTGTCAATCCTAAATGATAGCATTTAAATGGAAATTATCAGATTGTGATCAGGCTTTTTGAAAGAGCAGAAGTACTATATCAATATACAATACGCTGTATAATGTATACATGTACTGATTAGCAGAGAGCAAGATAATCCCAGGAGTGCTGTTGAGAATCAAAGGCAAAGATGAAAACGGTTAGAGTGGCATATCCTTCACTTGAGGGGCCAAACTTAAATGTGAAAATGCTGAGATCAACAGAACATTAAGAAGAACAAAAGGTTTCAAAGGACTTTAGAAGACAGGAGTGAGTGTCAGATTGACATTCTTGATTTAAAAGAAAAAGAAAAAAAAAACATTGCCCAGATACCTTTGAAAACTTTTCTACAAGTGAGCACTTTTAGACCAATGAGGAATTACATTGATTTGGTTCCATAATATTAAATGGTCTCATTTTGTAGAGACATTTTACTGAAGCCTTTTACCCACACAGTCATGTCTCGTGCTTATGACTCAATTATGCAAAAGCATATGCCACACCAAACAATTGTTTCTGTATGATTTATCTCTATCAGAACCAACTTAGTACTGAACTGCACTGATCAATCTTATTTGTATTATTTTATCTTTTTTTTTTTATCTGAACTCCTCATTCCTTCCTTAGACCCCTTTTACTGATTCTGATAAATACCAACCTATAAACACCCCACAAGAGGTGTTCTGACGGTATATGACAGCCATTTTGCATTTGGATATTCCCTTACTGGTGGTTATAATCTTTTGCCATGAAATACCAAACTGTTCTTGAGTTAAACAGTACCAGATCTATGCCCAAATGAATTTCAATACAGCTTCACTCACATTTAATTTCATTTTCACTGCTACAAAGGCATATACAGCAGATCAATTTGGTCCCTATTTGCAGAGTGGCAAACAGCATCAGTGCTCAGGTGTGGCTCAGGAGCGTGACACCAGCACCAAGATGAAAAGATGGTTAGCCACTTTCTCCATTCAGTGAAAAAAATGTTATAGCCAGGAGCCCAGCAAGCACAATGGATCACAGAGACAATAAGTTACAGTAATGAAAGTGTGATAGGAACCTGCTGAAGGGAATCCAACTTGATAGGTAAGAGGCTACAAGAAGTGGGAGAACACACCGACGCCTTGCCTGTAATTTGATTTTTCAAGCAAATTATTTTTTACTTCTCCACATCGCCGAAGTTCGGGCTGTAATAAGACAATTTCACAGGAGCCGGGTGTGTTTACATGCTGGTAGATAGACAGATTGACACTTTCTTTTCTTACAATTTCAGGCTGACACTGATCCTGTCCTGTCCCATGGATCTCAAGAACTTTCCTATGGATGTTCAAACATGCACAATGCAGCTAGAAAGTTGTAAGTATGGTCTGAATTAAGTAAAGAAATTAATGGAAATTCACCAGGAGACATGCTTAAAATGTCCTGTTCTTATAGATAAAAAAATGTGTGTGAAAGTGTTCAGCCTCAGAATTTCTTTGAATAAATGTTTCTATATATGACCCATTAGATTAGTGTTTTTAGAAGATAGATTTTTATATATACTATTTTTTTGTTTGGATTTTTTTATAGAACAAAAAAAAAAAAGAATAATTAAAACACCCCATACCTCCACATGCCAAACATACAGAAGTAGACAAAAACAAAATGAAACTAAACAAAAAAAAGAAAACACTGGGCAATCAAACATCATCTTAGGTCCAATCTTGTCAAAATAGTAAAAAAGACTGTCCATGTCTGTTTATACAATTCTTTTAAGTCAGTTTATGTTTAATGTTTGTAACCAAAAGTCAATAATATATTTACAGTGTATTTTCTTAAATTTTCAGAAAATGTGTAATTTTTTCCAAGTTCAAATGGGTAAACTGGTAAAAGGGAAAGATGTCAAGAGTATTGTGCTGTACTGTTTATAATGACGAGTTTGGACAATCTGAATGAACCCATCTCTTGACTTTCCAGTTGGCTACACCATGAATGATCTGGTGTTTGAGTGGCTCGAGAATGGGGCTGTCCAAGTGTCCGAAGGCCTCACTTTGCCTCAATTCATCATGAGAGAGGAGAAGGAGCTTGGATACTGCACTAAGCATTATAACACCGGTAAGAGCTACACCCAGATTCACTGGTTGTGTTTACATCCATCTAAAATCTGACCATTATCTGATTTCTGGAGTTATCAGATTACTGAAATGTCATAGAAAAAGTGAGATCTGATGTGGGTAATCTGACTGCTCACACCTGTGCAGGTTTTGATAAGCAAAAAAAAATCCAAAAAAGGCAAACTAATGTGGCAAACACAAAAATAAAATAAAATGTTATAGTGTATATGGTGAAAATGTATTATACAATCTTTTAAGTAGTGGTGGAAGAAGTAATTTTATTACTTAAGTAAATGTACAGATACTGGAGCAAAAAAAAAAACCTCAAATAAAAGCAAAAGTATCAGATTAAAAAATCTACTCAAGTAAATGTATTAAAGTACCAATTTTACTTTAATACATTTACTTCAAATGTCCAGATTTCTGCTGAATGTTGTTCAGTAGAAATAATGTACTTTTTTTTCAAGCTGTTTTATTAATGTAGATTTTAGTTTGTGCAAATTATGAACCTTTCAATAATAAACCCCTTAAACTTTTCAACAGATCAAACAATCATGAATTTAAAAAAAAACGTTTTGCTCAAAAATGTAAAAAAGAATGGAACAAAAAGTACAGATATCTGCTCTCATTCCTTTGATACGTTCCATTAACAGCTTTTAAATATAAAAGTTACTCAAAAAGTCGTGGCACCAGCTGTTTTTGATGTTCATATTTCTTTTGTACACAGAAACACTCCAAAATCTGATCTAATTCATGGGACTTGATTTGCCCTGTAAATGTACCCACTGTCACTACCACACAGTTGAACAAAGACATTTTTCATTTTGTTTTCAGGCAAATTCACATGTATAGAAGTGAAATTCCACTTGGAGAGACAGATGGGCTACTACCTGATCCAGATGTACATCCCGTCCCTTCTGATCGTCATCCTCTCCTGGGTGTCTTTTTGGATAAACATGGACGCCGCCCCGGCCAGAGTAGCACTGGGCATCACCACTGTGTTGACAATGACCACACAAAGCTCTGGCTCTAGGGCTTCTCTTCCAAAGGTCAGATCTGCTTTCTATTCTCCTGCAGCATAATCCAAGCCAGAAGAAAGGATTAATATATGTACAAAGGGTTAATGAATTAGTCAGAGGCCTAAATTAAGGTTTCCTCGCACAGTGAAGAATCGTTTCAAATATTTAGAAGAAGAAGTTCGTTATTTAGATGCTTGGGCATTAATGCGCTTAGCAAGGTTTTCTCAAAACATGAATTAAAAAAGCAGGAAGACAGCTGAAATTTTTATTCACACAGTTTGCATTTGTTCATTGAGAGATGTATTATTAATGATCACCAATTACCATTTTAAAATGTCATATATGGCATGATTTAAGATTTTTTTTCCACTATAGTTCATTTTAAATGCACAGTCACAGTCAATTATGACATGTTACCAATGAAATGGTGTCTGGAGGGATCACCAACAGGCTATATTATTTTTAGAAGCTCCACTCTCACTTTTTTGGTTGGTTTTCACAGTCTGTTAGCATACTATCTGAAAAAGTGAAGGTCAGAGTTTGAAGAACTTTTCAGAGATAAAAAGCTAATGGCTTGAGGGGGGTGTTTTTTGCCTTAGCCTTAGGAACATTAGCCTTGCAAGGCAGCACCATTTTGGTTAACTGCAGCTTTATTAGCCTTAAAACATGAACAAAGATTAAAGCTTAGTTAGTTAATTAATTAATTAAGATGAATTATTAGTTACGGTATTAATTAAATAATTATTAATTATTTCTGATCAATACTATAATGTAGAAAACACCCTGATCTACCTTGTGATGTCATGTGGTAATACAGGAAGTGATCCACTGTGTTTTTCAACTCCCTACAACTTCACTAGAATCATTTGGATGATTTCGACCCTGTAATTGTCCATCTCTACTGAACTAAAGGTAAAAGGAGCTGTTAACTTGAAAACTACCACTTAATGTCAGCACAAGGTGGAACAGAGCATTTTGAGCTTTGGAGATGTAGACAGACTGATGATAAAAGGATTACTCAAACATGTGTGAATGAAACAAAACACAACTCCGGGTATGTTTTTGATGAGGCAATAACATTATAACATAGCTCTCAAGAGTCGATTTTTCCAAATATAGGACCTTTAAGTAGTTATTAAGGTATATATCTACTATATCACTATTGGTTTATTCTGAGTTAAGTCTTTGTTCATGCTTTATTGAATCTACTAAAAGCGTAGTTATTATCATTTCAAGCCTGAACAACATGAAAGCAAGTCTTCTTCACTACTCTGTTTACTTTGCACAAGATGTTTACGCCGATCACATTAGTCACCGATAAGAGCTGGTTCATTTTCAGGATCACGAGAGCAGCAACTCCTGCAATTTGCGAGATGAAGCCTCCACATTGGCATTCTGTCATCTGATCCACGCGCATGCTTCCTTATTTTCCAATTATGATAAACTTCATGCAGATAGTGTGAAAGGAAGAACTCCTGGGGAACTCCTTTCAGACCTTCATCATCAAACGCTCTGTGTACGCATCATCCGGTGCTGTGAACAACAAAAGCCTGGCATCTCCATCAGCTCTCCACGCCTGAAAAGATAGACACATATGCTGATAAATATTGAAAGAGAAACATTTGAAAGACAATATTCAAACAACAGCTAAGGAAAGCCCTCAGAGCCACAAAAGAGCTGAGTTGTTTTCACCACATGCTAATCAGCTGTCACGCAAGAGGCAAGGTCAGCGGAGGATTTCAGTTACATCGTGATGAGATCAAACCCCCAACTGCTACCACTACTTTAGCAAAAAATAAATAAATAAAAATAAAACCAAAAAAGCTTGACAAAGTGCTTTAAAACATTTGCTATAAGGTAGGAATTGGACAAAAAAAATTGGTCTCTCTGCAACAAAAATGATCGCCAAAGTAAATACGGAATAAAGCAGAATCAAAATTATAGCAATCTCACGAGATAATTGAGTAAAATATGCCAAAAAAAATACTGTTATACTGTGATATATCGATACAGCAGCCCATGATACTGTACCAAATTTAGTAAAAGGTAGGCTAAATAAAAGTATAACTCACTGTCATCTTCCATTTTCATTTGGATTGCAAATTTGAGTGACTGAACTGAAAACCTAAAAAGAAAGACATGTACCAATATTTAATGATCCATAGCTGATAGTTGTTCTCCCTGTGCTTGCAGGTCTCTTATGTAAAAGCCATTGACATCTGGATGGCTGTCTGTCTGCTCTTCGTTTTTGCGGCGCTGCTTGAATACGCTGGGGTTAATTTTGTCTCCAGGCAACAGAAAGAGTTTCTTCGCTTGAGGAGAAGACAACGGAGGAATCAAAAGGTATGAGATGACAGTCCACGTCAGGAGTGTGGAGTTTCCTAACTTAACTGTAGGCGACTGGAGGTAAGAAGTGGTTTGTGAATGTCATTATCTTTAGATACGTGAAATACATACTCACAGACCAAATGCAGTTATGTAGAAAAATCAGCCACATTCCTAGACTGAACAACAACCCAGCATTTTTTTCGTTTTTCCATATTTCATATTTCCTAATTAAAACAGTGGAGACAGTGGGCTGCCAGTGGCTAAAATTGTTGTTGTGTCCTTAGGCAAGGCACTTCACCCACATTGTCTAGTATGAAACTGGTGTGTGCATGAGCACTTGGTGGTGGTGTAAATTAGCAACCTTGTTTCTGTCAGTCTGCCCCAGGGCAGCTGTGGCTACAACAGAACCAAATAAATACCAAATGTGGAATGAATGAATAAAGTCTTGTAAAAAGTGTTTGAGAGTCCAAAAAACAGCTTTATAAATCATTATAAATGCATTAATTATAATTAATAAATGCATTATTAGAATATAATACGACTTTTCCCCACTGGCAACAATATAAGAGTTATGATATAAAGCATGCAGTAAAGATATGTTGTATGTCAAATCTTATCTAGAAGATTTTTAGTAACAGAAATAGTACCTTGTGAGTAAGAGCTGTGTGCCTCTTCTCTTCCAGGATGAGGACATGCATGAAGGCCGCTTTAACCTGGCCAGCTACAACATGAGCCTGCCAACCAAAGATGGCTCAGCTGTGAAGAACGCAGCTCCAGCTTCTAACCCCCCTCTGCCGCCCGCTCCCAAAGACACAGACGCCATGAAGAAGAAATTTGTGGACCGCGCAAAAAGGATAGACACCATCTCCAGGGCAGCATTTCCACTGGCCTTCCTCATCTTCAACGTCTTCTACTGGGTCACCTACAAAATCATCAGACACGAGGACATACATCAGAAATAGACTGATGAATGCACCCAGAAAGCACAATATCAGAGACAGTTTACAAGAAGACACAAAATGGGTGTTTTTTTCAGGGATAATTTCACATGTTGCAGTGTTCAGGAAATGCAATGTTTAAGTACCTAAGACAATAGCATTCTTATGGAGGATGTTTGTTAAAATTCTAGACAGGAGCAGATCAAAACACTACCATAAAGTAACTCTACATTCCATGAATTACAAAATAAAACAAAGTAATTACCGTTGAGGAAATGCAGCATTAACTACAACCCAAGTTCACTGAGCCCTGTGGTGTTATTTATCCATGCAAGAATTTCTTCACTCAAGACTAACTTTATTGTAGTGTTGTTTGCTACACCTATTCAATATCTGCAATTAATTTACATATAGTTATTACATTTGGGGGTGTACACATTGGCAGAGTAATAATCACTTCCCTCTCTGCAAAGAGATGGCAAACTCATAATCCATTTAACACACAATATCATATAAAAGGCCACACTAGAGCAGAGGCACAGCAGACAAAGCAGAACAGCATTTTAAACTTTAGAATTAGGGATGTACCGATCCAGCTTTTTATGTTCTGGTCCCGATCCGGATACTATGGCTTTAAGTATCTGCCGATACCAGTGCAGGGACTAAAAATAGACTTTATTTTAAAATATTGTAAGGCAAAACGTGTGATGCAGCCCTGATTTATCTCTCAAGTAATGACACAATTAGCCTGATTCATCAGCCAGTTTAATTTTGTGGAAACAGTCCGACCTTGCAGCGTCAGGATTCGTTCGCTCAACGGAAGACGGGTACTTCGCAGGTACCAATCGCTGCTATTTGGTCGTGACATACGTAATGCGCCGCTACGGGACTAGCTGGTGTATTAAGCTTTTCCCGAATCCCATAGGAAGAAGGGCAATAACGTCTTTAACCTTGATAAAATTCACCAAACATTCTCTTTGTTCTGGCTTTAAATCCTCGATCTCGGGAATCGTTGCCAACACAGAATGTATGGCTCTTCACTGATTGGCTGGTGTCCAGACTCGCACTTCCAGGGTTCTTGCAAACTGTCTAGTGTATTTCGATTGCTGACCTAGTCGCTGGAGAGAAATGAAATTGAGTGGAGGCACTAGGTGAAGCCAGCCTGGCTAAGACAGAACAACTCTGTATTAAAAGCTCAAACATCATCAGACTTTCTGGACCAACTATGACCAATAAATAGTCTTATTATATGTCCAACCAGGATATCGACAGAACCAATATATTGGATCAGAGCTGATATTATAAACCAATATTGGTATCGGTGCATTCCTATTTAGACTCAAGGTTGTATTGTTTTATATTGTCAGTGTTTTCACTTCTTCACAGTTTGTATGAAAGCACATGGAGTATATTCTGGAACATTGAACAGCAGGGCACATCTTAGGCATGGACACAGATAAAAATCGGACGCTGCATTTTTATGAAATACCTGAAGCCTTAGATATCAAAGACCTGGTGAGATGAAGTGTTTTCAGGCATCTCCTCTTGTTCAGTGGTCGATCTAATTCTTTTGATCTTTTCTACCCGTGGCCAAGTATCCAAAGTTTCTTCTACAGTATATGCGTTTTTCTGTGAATATTACAGTCATATTCAGATGATGTCAGTGGGATCGATTCAAATCAGACAATTCCTTTGAAGGACATTATTTTAGATCCAATTTAACAGATAAACTTAAAGGAAGAAATTCAGTCTGTGAAACTGCATTATACAACGTTTCTCCACATGACTCTTCTGTACTGGTATTTTTAAGGTTTTAAACTTTTTGTAGATTTAGTCTATTCTCTAATTAAAATATATATTTATCATGGGGGAGGGGAAAACTGTATTCAAAGCTTCCCCATGGAATTGATACCCTAATTAATTTCCTATGGTGTTGACTGAAAATGTTTGAAGATGGTTTTGTAATATTAATTTTAATGATTATTGGTTCTTGCACTTCAGACGTCCTTTATACAGTTGTCTTTTAAAAGGTGGTTCTCTGACTGACCCATCAATAAAATTGGCTGTGCACATATTGATTTTAAATCCAGTTGTAGTAAATGATCTAGAATCGCTTTGTTAATGTTTAGTTTCTAATGTCATTATGATGAATGGTGAGAGAACGATTAAATAAATATTGAGTAAGCAATTTTTCACATACTGAATTAAGAGATTGGTGTAATTTTATTTATTTCAGGAACAGTGCATATTAAAGGGCCCATACACTCTTTTATGATCTATGTTCTAATGTTGTTTCCTCATCACAAACATGCCTGGAGTTGTATTTTGTTTCATTCACACATGTTTAACACACAAATCCTGCATATTTAGGTTGAGTTCTCTTGAATTGAAAACACTCTGTTCCACTTTGTGATGTCATGTGGTAATACAGGAAATGTTTTTAAACTCCATACACTTTCACTAGAATCATTTATATGATTTCAGAACTGGAATTGCCCATCTCAACTGAACTAAAGGTAAAAGATAGCTGCTAACTTTAATCAAATGAAACAGAAAACGCACACCAAAATTCCTGTAGAGGTGCAAATGCAAGAAACGGCAAGATAAAATTGAGCACCTGGGCTGGCAACCATTTTGTGTACTGTGGTCCAAAGCAAGAAAAATAACTGACGAAGGCCTTTTTTGCTGAAACGTCGATGAAAAATAAAAAAAAACTTTTGGACATCGGCCATCTGATTGTGCTATGCATTTTTTAAATCTAGCTGCTAACCTGAAAACAACAGCTTCATGACATCACAAGGTGGAACTCAGCATTTTTGGAGATGTGGGAAGACTAATAATAAAGGGTTACTCAAAAATGTGCCAATTAAACAAAACACAACTCCAGGTATGTTTTTGATGAGGTAACAGCATTATAGCTCGACTTAAAGCTCACAAAAATCAATTTTGTGTACTATAGAACCTTTAATGAATATTTCTGTAAATAAGTCAGAATTAGCCAAGAATTTTTCATCTGTAGTCCCATGACAGATATTAATGCCAGCATAAAAACAAAAAAAGGATCAAATGTAAAATATGTAACACAGCTCTTCAGGTCTTGCAACTAGTGGTGAGCAAATCTAAAAATAAAACCATTGACAAACTCACAGTAGCAGATAGCTGCGCAGGTAGCTGATTCCCCCCTTCCTTTGCTCAGCACCAGCCTCCATTCATGAAGCCTGCGCGTCGCCGTGGTGACACATGCAGTAGACGGCTGGGTGGCCCGCAGTGACACAGATCTGATATGACAGAGGGTTTCCATAAATGCATGATAATGGCCTTCACACTGTACGTGCCCAGATCCTATCAACCTGTAAGAGCCAACATGCACGTCAAAGAAACAACATGACAAATTGTGTTAGAATAGTGACACCACCCATTGTTTCTACAGACAAGGTACTAATAATAAAAAAGCAAGAATAGAACATCTTTTAATATGCAGATGGATTAAATCAGCTTGTTACTTGAGGCACGCTATGATAGTTGTTATACCAGATGTCCCAGTTTGGGTATAAAGACAAGGGCCTATCAGTTTTACCAGGATGAATCACTCAGTTGCTTTTTTAATGGCCGAAACAAAAGGATTATAAACTAATCAATAATACTAATCCGTGTGGAAATGCCATTCGTTTCAGTGGCACCTCATTACGTAACAATGCATTGTTATTGCTATTTTAATATGCAGAGATGCCTTTATGTAATCAAGTTTAGTATGACGGCTTGTGGGGGGGGGGATTATTTGCTGCTTATAATTGTGTTTTGGAGGCACAACTTTGTCATACATTAGTGTTTAGAGGGGCTGCTTTGTGAGAGGACAGAGAGAGGGGAGATGAGGGTTGTCATGGTAACTGCACAGTCGCTATAAGGTTAGTGTATGAGAAAATTAATACTCTTGAATTTACATGTATATTTTAAGTAAAGCTATTAGTCAGTGTAAAGAATTATCTGTCTGTGAAAAGTTAAAGCTAAGAGCAAGAATAGTTTGTTTAACTAAGCAGTCGCACACAAGTCTAAAAAATATATCTTAAAATGAGATGAACAAAGAAGGATATCTAATCATTCTTTAGTATATGTCAGCAACTAAGCATCTTGAAAAATCATGGCTTGACTGAATTTGACAGAATTAAGTACTACTGGCAAAACATTACCACTGCAATTAATATTTTCTGCAATTCTTATTTACCAGAAAATAGGGTTGTGAATGGAAAAGTGAGATTATGAATATGAGGAAATAAATCATTCTTTTTCAAACCAAACCTAACCAAAAAACATAAACAAGCTTTTTTGTTCAACAATTGTGCTTCACAAATGCAAAACATTAGTTTTAAAGTAAATGTAATTACTGGATCCAAAGTTTTGTAAAATTAATGCTTGCACAGCAGATCAAAACAGAAAATCCCCAAGATCTGAACCCTTCAGGTCTTTTCGTAAGCTTTTAAAAATATGTCTGAATATATTTTGCTTGATGTTTTCAATTCTTATGGGATGTCTTTGCATTTTTAATAGCATACAGTTAAGGATAACATTAGTTTAGCCAGCTCCCTGTGTATTTCCACAACAGTATTGATGTCCGCCCACTGTTTGGGTGACCCACTGAGTGGACAGGCCCAAAGGAGGCTAGACCCTCTGAACCGAATCAATGTGAGTGCACTAGGGCCACAGACCATGCTGTCGATATACAACCATGTATAAGAGCTACATTCACCATTACACATGTCAAAGAAGACTAACACTGCAATCTGTTATTCAGATGTATAGCCATTAGAGGGTCACCCAACCACAGAAAAACACTGGTTAAATACACATTAACAAGACAAAAATTGCTACGGCATTAATAATGTGTTATTAATTAAAATATAACTGTTTACTCATGTTGTTGTCATCAGCAATAACATACAATCAGCGTGTACAAATATGATTAGATGACCAATGAATCTGTCAGCCCTATTCCCTGTTGGTTGAGGTGGAATCAATGGAGACCACAAACCCCAGAGGCTTTCACTTTTCAGAGTTAATAGAAGTTAACAGGAAATAATGTGAAGACAAATATTGTATATTTCAGTGGCAGACAAGGAAGAAGGAAATTGAATTTGTATTTTGAGAAAAATGAACTGCAGCCCCAGGCCATTTAATGGTATTATTTACAGAACAGGATACACAGGAGTGTCCACCTGTCACTTGAAATGATGGCTTGGACACAGTGTTTATGGTAAGTGTGTAGGAGCCTCTGTGAAGAGGTTTAATTAGGAACACAAGTATTGTTTTTTTCCTCAACATGTTTCAGGTCTGGTCATCCAACAGCATGTCAAAGCAAAGCATAGGCTATAATTATGTTACACAGGAGTCCATCAAAGCCTGTTATGTGCACTGAAGCACAGATATGAGTGAGTTCATATCTCTTTGGGAATCATGAAACAGACAGACAGTAACTGCTACACACTCCAGGACCTTTAGCCAACAAAATACATGTCCTTTTCTCATCTCCACAGGGAGAGGAAAAACTCTCCATCCTCTGTGGAGTCAGCGCAGTTCTTTTAAGTAAGGTTTGATGTTCACTTGAAGGAGTGGCATTTTAAATAACAGCATGTTGCGGACAACAGTTTTCATTTCAGTGAAAAACAGCTGAACCATGAGGCGAGAGTCCCACTAAAAGCAACCCCACCCAGAGCTGTGAAGCCCTTTGCCCTCCATCACTGTGTGCCTTTATTCACAGCACAATGTGAATCCAAGGGTTATGTCTGTCACAGAACAAGGCATACAACACAAAACATAAAACAGTGCTGTGGAGCACTGGGGGTGCACAGGGACACAAACGGGAGGAAACTGGGCAGAGTGCAGTATCAGATGAAGGCTGTAGAACCCAGGGGGTGATCTAACGGAAATAGGAAGAGGCACCACACCAAAGCATCAGACACACTATCCCCCCATGAGGTCGTCTGAAAGAGCAGCTACACAGAGGTCAGCAAGCAGAGAATCAGGAGCAGGCTTTAATACAGCTTCAATGTAAACAGCACACGAGACAAACAGTCAAAACACAGTGACACTTGAGGGACTGAGGGTGAGCGATTGCTGATGGAAGTGCTGACAGGAGCCTTTTAGCTGTACAAACTTTTCTGCGTCTCTATGAGGGCTGCCAAGTCCCCATCGAGTTGCTCTTTGAAGAAGCTTTCAGTCAACACACGGTATCTCTGCACGTCCACCAGGGGGCACAAGTTCCTTTTACTCCGCTCCACATCTCTCTGCCAGTCATCCCTGCACCTCTGGAGAGGCTCCTCACGGCGCGGGTCAGGAGAGATAAAAGAGCTTATTCTTTTGTTATCATCTTCCTTTTCTTTGGAAAGCATGGCAGACACACAGTCCCTCAGTGAGGTGATTTCCCTCTCCAGCGCCAGAGAAAAGATTTGTGCTTCACTCTGTCCTCTGGTAGCTTTGACAGGCTCCACGGTGCATGACCCTGGGAGAGTGGCCAACAGCAAGTCCAGGAATTGCAGCATCTGTAACTCACTGCACAAGAGCAATGATTAGTCCATCACATATCACCAAGTATTTATATTATTTATAATATTATTCTATGATGATTATGTATGTTTTTAATAGTCTGTATTGAAATTTTAATGTCTTTCTTATTTTGTAAAGAACTCTGAATTTCTTTGTGTACTAATTGTGCTATACAAATAAACTTGCCTTGCCTATTACAGTTATGTCCAATGTCCTCTTTACTGTCTTGTCTATTTAATACAAACCATATCAACAAATAAACATAATAAAAATATGCCAAATTACTAGCAACAAGGCTAGAATACAGATTTTTATTTTTTTCCTAATCATGTAAATAACTATGTTACATAAACACTGTTTATGTAACCATTTGTAAATTTAAGTATCCGGCAAAGTCATAATCTATTTAATATTCAATGGGATATCTCAGGGACAACTTCAAAGCCATGTGAATCTATTAATGTAAATTGAAAAAGCTCCATATAACTGCTGCTTGTTATTCTGCTCATTTATTTTTTGCTGCTGCAAAATTAAAATGAACCAAAACAAACTGATGTTGATGAATAAAACAGTGAAAAAAATGATGCCCTTAAACGTATTTGTTAGTAGAGGTAATACAAAATACATTAAGACATCTCTTATGACTCAGAAGACTCCAAAGATATGATCGTGCCTGAGTATAATGCCTTACCTGGTGTGTACTGACAGTTCTGCCTGAAAAGGGGTTATCTGATGCCAGCGGAGCAGCATAGGAGCAGATGGTCCCGCAGAATTTATCAGAAGATGTTGAGGGCTCACTTCTATCCTTTTACAGCCCACTCTTTTCTGAATCCGGCCAACTATGTCACCCAGGCTGTAATCAGGAGAGTCTATGTGAAATGTCCAGTGATCCAGCAAGGCCATCAAACTCAGCAGGTCCTCAAGGCTCTCGTCTGAAAACAAAAAGTATATTTCTGTTAACACAAATTCAATGTCAGAATGGTTGGGACTTTTTTTTTTTAAATGTAAAAGAAAATGAATGTCATTTGCGAGTCTCATTATTGTATAAACAGAAGACCAACCTTCAACAATTGCTACACTGTGTTTATGTCTCTAGTTGAATATTTGGATGACAGCAACATCTTTTAGATATCGACAGTTAGGGTTGTCAACTAGAATTCATAAAAAAACGATGAACATGAAAACGATAGTCAGTTGAGCATATAACAAAACATTCACATGAAAAAAAAAATTTTTTAGGATAGTCTTGATATTCATTAGAACACCACATGATAATATTAAAGACAAGTATTGAAATCAGTGAGAATTGAGCCTTTTTCTTAGTATCAAATTAGAGTTTAAAATTTTACAATCATGACAACCAAACATCCAATGAAAGCAGAGGCATTATAGTGTATGTATGAATAAAACTGTGGCTTTGTGGGGTTAACAAATGAGTGAATATGTTTTAAGTATACAGGGTTAACTCTGGTGAAATTCTTGTTTTTTACAACTCCCGCTGTTTTTTACCTGTCTTGACCTCTGGTCTGGACAGTAGCTGCGTTTGTACGTCACTGTGTAAGTCCAGCACCACCTGACCACAGTGTAGAATGGTTGGTGCCGGTTTGCTCGAGGGGGGAAAAACGTCTCGTGTTGGAGCATAATGTAGCATGACATGGCACTTGACACAGCCAGAGTTCAACAAAGGTGTGAGGGCGGCCAGCGCAGTCACAGCCACTCGGCCAGTGTTGAGATCATGGCTGTTTTCAGTGCTGTGTTCCTGCTTGCTTCTCTTGGCTGCAGGCTCTGGGCAGGAGGAAGAGGAGGAAGAGGAGGAGGGGGCATTTGAGACAGTGGAGGGCAATAAGTGGGAGGGCGTTGAGGGGCAGAGAGTGGGGAGCCAGAACACTTGGCTCTGGGTTTGGACGGCCGCTGGCGTTGAACTCTGCTCCGAGTCTGTCACAATGAATAAGCTCACACCGGACACTGGTCTAGAACACAAATAAAACATCACTTAGGATCAGATATCAAAGAGACAGTAAGCTATCAGGGTGAGAAAAAAGTCTAACTCCAGACAGAAATACCTAAGTGGATTTGAATACCGGTATGTGAACACAAAGGCTTTTCATTTATTCACAGTTACAGATGTAAAATTGCTTTGTTAAAGACCTTATTTTTCCTGCACTGTAAATATGTAGGTCTAATGTAATATAAATGCAACGCTGACATACACAATATATGCAAAGAAGGGGACAGGAAATCCACAGACTGTGTGTGTGTGTGTGTGTGTGTATGTGTGTGTGTGTGTGTATATATATATATATATATATATATATATATATATATATATATATATATATATATATATATATATATATATATATATGTACATAACCAGCTTGCCACCATGTTCCAGATACAAAGTAAGCATGGGGCACTTCCGGCTGCATCAACTCTAGCTCCAATTGACTTTCATTGTAAAATTGCCACCCCCCTCTCTGTAACTGCTGCAGTGAGCCTTGTCATTTTGGTCTGACAGTTTTCATAATAACCCACTCTACACATGGTGGTAAATTATCAAATTGGTTAACTGTTAAAAACAATATCATGTGTAGTGTGTGAAATACCCTACTCCTAACCCAATTTTAAAGCAGTTTTCTTCTTTACACTTACACTTAGTACACAAAAAATGTTTTATGCTTACTTGGTTAAGGATTTGTTGACAATGATTAGACAGTTCTTTTTTGACCACCTCATCGATTTAATCCCTCTAAAAATCTCTTAGTTCTTTGAGATAAATTGCTGATACAGTGTAAAATGTGCCTGGCATAGAGATAACTTTGCTTCAGCAGCATTTTAAGGTTTTTCAAAGTGGTTGTTAGGTGGCTAGCATTAAGTCAGATTCCTATTTACTTGTATCTCTACATAGTTAGTTACTACAGATCTAGATTAAAGCACTTAATCAGTAAAAATAAATGTTATTTGATAAATATGTAGCATTGTAAAACATGCAGTTTTGCATTTGTATAAATTAAAATGTGGAGCCCCTTTATAATTTGATTTAAAGATGGTGACAATTGAGATGCATCAGTAAAATAAGTGAAAGAAATGTTACTCAGAGATGTCAGCAGATAAGATCACTCCCACAACCAGCCGGTCTCCTGTGACGCGATGCCATAGCTTGTCCACTTGAAGATTTGATGACACAGTTCGCACATCTTGCATTTTGTCATCCTCAATCTCATCTTTTGTTTCATCCTCGTCCCACAGAGCAACAAGGCTTTCCTGTGCAAAGAGTGTGAGGATTATTGTCAGCAACAGAAATTGGGACAGTGCTGAAAAGCTACATCAGTTATGTCACCATTCACACAAAATTCATACACCAATGTACGCAGACACTGGGGGCAATGCAGGTTAAGTGTCTTGCCCAAGAATATAAGGTATCTGTGGAAGGTGGTTGGACCAACCTGTAAGTCAGGGGAAGAGCACCTACACTACCACACTAACTAAATTATATCATGGTCAAAAAATATCAATTAATCAATCAATCAATAAACAACTTTATTAATCCCAAAGGGTAATTCAGTTTGCTGATCTCTGGTTGTGCAGACCAGAGACTGCACAGAATAGTTATATCAAACATGCAATAATTTAAAGCATTTTGTGTACAGAAATACATTTGAAACAATGCATGCACAGAAGGAAGTTTGATAAGAACTATATACGGTAATACACTTCAGCATGATTCATTAGACTTCAGTGACAGGTATAAGAGAATTGCTTGCTTGTGTAGTATGGCATATCAAACAGGAGTTAAATAAATTCTTCAACACTGCTTGTGATAACCTGCCAAGTACACATTGCTCTGGATAGGATCTGATCTGTACTGTACATGTACTGTGAATGATTAACTATGAATAAAAACAGTCATGTTTTTATTATAATACCTTTACTTACCTGCTCAAAAGGAGTGAGTACAGGCTTTTGTGTATTATCCATAAGAGATTGTAATGACTGTTGTATCACTCTCTCTTTTGCCCTTTCTTCTCTCTGAAGTTCTTGAAGTACAGTGAACCCACTCTAAAAGACAACACATTTGTGATTAATAGTCAAAAAAACAAACTTTATGTAACTTTAGTTTTGTTTGGTAGCATACCATTAGCCGTGATTCTAAAGCTTGAATGGTGTATAAATAATTCTCAGGTTGAACACAAGGTGGTTTCATGGATTCATTAGCCTGGACACTCTAAAAAGCAGAAAAAGGTGTCTTGAAAAGATGCTGTTAATGAAATTTACCCAGATTAAACTGGCTGACTTACAGAGTAGGAAACACCACAAAGATCTGTTATTAAAAACACTCCTAAAGGCTGACTTGTTGCATCAGTGTCTTTAAAAATCAGTAACATTTGATCTGTTCCAATGCCAAGAAAGTCATCTACAAGCACTGAGGTAACTCCCGACCACTCCGAGGCAACCTGAAAATAAAGTATAATTAAACTGTGCATCTTGTAAGTTTATTGATAGTGTTTAATATTTACATACAGTGAATGTGTCTTTCCACACTGCACAGACATGGCTGCCAGTGAAAGATATAACAAATAGACTGCCATTTCTCCCAGTATTGACCTGCTGAATATTCTCTGGGTGAGTGAAAGGAAGTTGGCATACATCTCTCACAACACCATTTTCAACATAGAGAAGTTGTTGATTGGATGTTGCTGCTACTGAGGATGTTTCTAGCCCATCATCAGCCTTTACAGCTGAGAGCACCAAGAGGCAACAGGTGATTGAAATGTACGGATGAGGTAAAACCAAATTTCCATCAAACTTTTGTCCATCTTGAATGAAGTATCCGCTGGTTTCACTTGTCACCTCCTGATCGAATTCTGAAACACTTTGCAATCCAAGAACAAATGACCCTTTGTTAAGTGGGAGTTCTCCAATAATAGTGTGTGACATGTCAAAGGGCATCTGCTGGACCACTCCAGACTGCAGGGACGTACACCACACGTGATCATCATGACTCCACAACAATGTAGGTCCCTCAAGGATCCACACGTCCCCTTTAACCTTATAGAGGAGCTTAAACTTCAAGCAAGGTTCCAGTTGATTTGAGTTGCTCAGACAGAGAAGACTATAGTGGAAACCATCTGATTTCTTAGCATTTTTGACCACAAGAACACAGGGCACAATCAGTCTCTTTTGAATGTGTAATACGCTTCTACACTTTATAATTTCCACGTGTGATCCTTTTGATTTGGCGATGACAGCTGCTCCATTCGCTTCGTTTAGGAATAAATTGTCTTCCTTTTTAAACGATAGTCTTGAAAATAATACCTCTCCTCTTTCGCTGTCAGTTTCGCTCGAGCCTTGTTTGTGAAAAGAAATTAATTTGCCACATGATGACACAAGGTGATGGTGAAAACAAGTTTGCGAGGTCAAATTTTCCATCGTGCAGCGTTAAAAAGTTCAGTGAAGCACGATCCGCGTCTGCATTCATTGGAAGAAAGCGCTATTATAAATGAATAACATGTCTGTAAGAAATACTGGACGTGTGACGGCAGCTCTCAAAAGCCATGCTCAAAACACATCACAAACGCGCCAAGGAAAAATTAAACACTTCCTGTTGTTGTTCGCAGGGCATTGTGGGTCAGAGCTGAGCTGGCAAACAGATCATGCATCGATGAGATAAATGACCACGAGGCTAGCTTCTTTTAACAATATATTAACGCCGGATTTAATACATTGAGATCGTAAACATAACTCCAGGAATATACCGTGAAACTCCACCCTATATTTCACTTTTACCCCCACTAAAGACAGAAGAGGAGTGGCCAGATTTTGAGCCAAAATGGCAGCGAGGGACGCGAGTTTCACTATTTGCACAGATTCATCTCGGCGTTAGCAGCTCGGGGCTAGCTGTTCAAGGAAATAACTGCTACCGCGGTGAAGAAAACACAGGAACAGCTGAACATGGCTGAAGTTGAACAACACGGAGAGCAGGTATCGTCAAATTCACCGGAACTTATGATCCAGCGCTCATAACTACACGACGGATCTGTTTTTAACATATAATTTTTTTCAGGACATTGAAAAGAAGATTGAAGACACGAGAGAGAGATTTAAGAATGAGTTACTTCAAGGTGACAATGATTTAGCAACCGACTATCTCTAAGTTCTTCAAAAATGTGTTTAATAACGCTGATAGTAGTCGTTAGTTACTGTAAATACAGTATATATCCACAGTTTCCCGTGTTTACACCATTACTTTGCACTCACTGTTAAGAGCTGCAACAGAGAACAAGCTAAAGAAACTGAATCTACTCTAGTTTGTTCTCCCCATATGCTTATACTCTCTAACCATGTTTGCTGACAAAGTGACAGTTGTTTTATACTTATGAAAGGTAATAATGTTTATAAATGGTTTTCATTTTTGATATTGGTGCACAAGGTTAGAGAGTGGTCAGATGAAAGTTAATTTTGTCCAGGACATTTGCCTGACATCAGTTAATTAGTGTCATGTGATAATTTCAGATTCAGCAGAGAAGTACGACTCCAGAGACGTGGAAAGACTTCAGACAGACGATGCCCTGGTGGAGGGCTACCTGACATGGAGGCTCTACAATGTAGACGATGCTTTGAAAATGATAGATGAAAGTCTGCAATGGAGAAAGGAGTTTGGTGTTAATGGTATGACTTGTCTGTAGTATATGATTTTATTTTTAAAAGAATAGGAAAACTTTTAAATATTAATGAATGACAAACACAGATTAGGAAATTTATTGAAGTTCACTGTATTTAGATGCGTTTTACACTGGAGTTAGTGAGCGTGCTACTGAGTGAGAACTCTGTGTACTTAGTGAGTACAGGCCATCCCAGAGAACAATTACCACTGTATTCATGCACGTCACTGTGGAAATTATCTTGTCTTTATTCAAACAAAGTGAGAACTCCCAAGAAAATTACATTATTTTAAAGATATAAAATACAGAAATTAGGATATCACATTCCCATAATACATTTTGAAAACATAAAAAAAGAGCTGAATAAATAACTTTTTTGTCTCCTGTTCTAAAGTATATGTACTCGTATAATTACACGTAATTACAATAATTGATTGTTTATTTCAGATATTACTGAAACCAGTATCCCCAGATGGATGTTTGAGACTGGCGCTGTGTACCTCCATGGATATGACAAAGAGGGAAACAAACTTTGTAAGAACTTTTATGAGCAATCATGACACATGTCAAACTTGCAAATACATTAACTATCTGCTTAATCAATCTTTGTCTGTGTTAGTTTGGTTCAAAGTGAAGCTGCATGTGAAGGATGCAAAAACAATCTTAGACAAGAAGAAGTATGTAGCCTTCTGGCTAGAGAGGTATGCCAAGAAGGAGCCAGGCATGCCACTTACTGTTGTGTTTGACATGACAGAATCTGGCCTCAGCAATATAGTAAGTGCTTGGAAATCTTGAAATATTCCAGTATATGTGTATCTAAGCAGCCGCTGCATTTCACAAACAAATGGCCTCATCAGAAAGTCTTTGTGTGATTTGTCATACCAAAGGTTTTACAGCCTCAGTTGTGTTTCACTTCGGAGATTAAAGTAACCTTTAAATCTCCTTGGTCAAATCGAGTGAGTGGACGGTCTAATCCACAGATAGACTGTTAGCTTCTTCCTGGGCGGTATGTGGGAGGCTTTTGGCAGTGTGCACAAAGCAGGAGTTAGAAAGTAGGCAAAAAGATAATTGAAACAAAAAGATGGTATAATTGTTTGGTAAGGATAATATCTAAAGCAGTTCCATAAAGAGGTGCCAAACCACTGTTTGAGACTGGAACAGAGCTAGCCTGTATGATCTCATTAAAGCTTGGAAGTGAGGTTACTGCATAGCAATGAGGCTTCTAGCCAATTATGGAGCTAAGCCAGGATAGAGCGGCTGTATCCATTGACATATCTACTGTTTGTCTGCAGCTCCTAATTAGCATAGAGCAGTGGCATTGGCATTTATCACGCAAAACATTAAACATAGTTAAAGTAACACTTATTGTACCGAATGAATTTGTAAATGTTGTATTGTGTTTCAGGACATGGATTTTGTGAAGTACATCATTAACTGCTTTAAGATATATTATCCAAAATTTTTATGTAAGTATCATACTATATAACCAACAGACCACACCATTTAGAAACTGTACAAATCTAATATCTATTTATTTTCCTAGCCAAAATGGTAATTGTGGATATGCCTTGGATTATGAATGGTAAGTCTCAAGTACAGAACCATATATTTAGTCCAAAAAGTGTTTCTCACGTTTTAAGTGGGTTACTTGTTTTTGCAGCTGCTTGGAAGATTGTAAAGTCATGGTTGGGACCCGAGGCAATCAGCAAACTCAGATTTGCATCTAAAGCCGAGATCCAGACATATATAAACCCGGAGTACCTGCCACCTTCCTTGGGTGGAATGGTATGTGAAAACTGAATTAATCATTTCTTGAATTATTACAGACAGGTGTTCAGAAACTATAAATATTATTTATCCATCTTGTGTGTATGTTGATCATACAATTTTTGGGGGATTTTTTCTCTACAGGATCCATTCCAGTATAGTTACCCTCCTCTTCCTGATGATGATTTCCAAACACCTCTTTGTGACAATGGTCCAATCCTCAGTGAAGAGGAAACAGAAGGTAAAGAGGGAGAATTGGAAGTTAAAGATGCTCTGGAATCCAGTTTCAACTCAGAAGTTGCTGTAAAACCCAAAAAGGTACATTTAACTTTTCTTTTAGTGTAGGTTTCCCTAATTTTGGTAAAGAAATTGTTTACACTGTGCTCCAGACAAGTCCCTTTACAAGCTCAGTTCATAGAGCTTGTTTTGTCAGTTGCTTACGGTTTTTCTACTGTTGCAATGTTCCCTCTTAAACAGCAGTACATAGCTATTGGGGTGAAACTCCTGCTAAGTTTCAGCGTGAACTGTCACCCACCCACACGCTCCGATGCCACCAAACTGCACCACGGCTGAAGTTAGAACTGTAGGTTATGTCAAAGAATCTGCTCACTTCCTGCAGCGCGCACTTCATAATCTTTTTAGCTCCTTTTCTAGCCAGGGGCATGCAGGGAAGGCTTGCATGAGAAAAGATGTGGGTATAAAGAGGCTCATCCTGAGAAAGCACGAGTGGCAGAGAATGTTTTTTTTTTTTTAACATCCAAAAAGCAGTTAAACATAAAATGTACTTGTACTTTCTGGAAATATTTTTAGTTTTTCAACATTTTGTCAGTAATTGATTATTACAGCCCTAGGGTTCATTTCCAGTGTGCACAATTGAATTATCTGAGTGGACTTCATCAGTGAATTTGATTCTCACGGACATGGTGTATTTTTTTAAAAGAACCAGCAGTGCTCAACCAGCGCTACGTCCTTGTGCCACTTACAATGCATGGCAACAAAGCTTTTATTGTTAATGACGAAACATTACTCAGCATGTGCAACAGATTTAGATTTACAAAGAGTTGCCCAACTGTTGCTCCAGTTCTACTCTAGTGGAGCAAGTGTCTGGAGTAATTTTCTACTAATTGTAACAGAAAATCTGCATCTGAAACTTTTAGGCAACCAGTCAGTTGTGGCAATGTCAATTGTCCTCCAAACCACGTAAACTTAAGTAACCCTTGCATGGAAAAAGTGGTCGAGGACTTGTTTTTGAAATGTGCTTCCTGTTCACCTGTATTTATATTTTAGAGACAGCTCAGTATTCTTCTTCACATCTTTCGTATTTCACCTGTCTGTGGACACTTGAAGCCTGTTTGAATGCATTCCACTGTGCTCTGCTCCCTGCCTCTGATCCGTTTTGTCTAAACAAGCAAGACACCGCTCTTACCACCGCCGCCCATAACGGTCTCTGCTCGTCGGGATTCCAGCATGGCCATGAGGGAGGCTAATTCAATCTCTCTTTGTTTTCAAACAAGGGTTGGAGGTGGTAAGAAGATTTCTGCCGATGGAAGCACAGGTCTTCTCCTCAGCATTAAACTAAAGTTCTGACCAGCTCTGGAAATGGTCTTTGCCCAGGCAACTTACAAAAGGACATTTCAAAAGAACTACAGAAAAGAATTGCACTAAATCGCACTGTGTTGTTTACACAAATTGTGTAAGCATGCAGTACAGTATAATACTACAATTACCTCCTACAGAATTTCACCGCAAGCAAAACATATAAAATTGGTTCAGTGTCAACATTATTACAGCATATTGCAACTAATTCAACTTCACACTACTAACAGTGTTTAGTAGGCTTGTCATTTCATTTTTGAACAAATTTTTTTGACCATGAGCACTAACTCCCATGTTCCTGATCAATATTTTACTACCAGTGCCTTCTGTTCTAACATTTTGGTTTCTTCTTGGGTGCCTTAAACATTTCACTTTTTTCTTGAATCATTTTGTCATTAATTTGTACTTTGATTTAATAGCTTACACTGTGTGTATCTATGATAGAGATTTTAAAGTACTTTTTAAAAATAGTCCACTTATTTCAGGCCACTTTGTTTTATCCATTAATTGTCTTTTAAGTTGCACTTTTAATTTGTATGATTGATTATGCCTTGTAAACCCAATCATTATTCAACCACAGCACTGTAAATTTCAAATCTGAATGAAACACTTTTTAAAACTTGAAACTTGTTTTGATTTTATACTAACATTTTTACCTCGTCTTGTGTTAAGCCTGCTGTTTAAAGGATGAATAAATGGCGACGTTTTCATCAGCAGTTGATATCTCTTGAAGTCTTCATTGTGGCACTTGGGTGACAGGGCATTAAATTAAGATGACGTGTTGTGTTTCTATCACAGTCTATGACACACTCGCTGCCTGAGTCACAAATGTCCCCATCACATGCTGCACACACTCCACTTTGGCCCATTTTGCAGTTTGACCCCTGCTTCACTCACTTCCTTTATTATTTGTCTCAGTCTGTAAAAAGCACAAGTCCCACCAACCACCATAATGGTCCTCAAATTACACAAGAACACACTTTCCCAACCATTTCTCCATTTGTGATAGGTCAGCTGTTAGTCTTATGGTGTGTCTTCGCTTTTGCTGGGTCAAAGTTGAGAAAGTGCTCACATGATTGATGCTTAAAATTATGTCAGCAGTGTCTCAAGTTTCATCTGGGAAAAGTCATACAGGCTCTTTCATGTCTTGTAGTATTATTGTCTCATTTGAGGACAATGGTCACGGATATTGTCCATTATTCATTATGATTAACACTACTTTTAATTTTATTCCCATGAATCACTTCACTTTCCTTGCTTAAATGGACAACTCCCATGTTGCAAGAGGAGATATGGGTCAGCCTGATTCTGTTATCAGTCCAGCGAGTCATTAAGTGTCTTTGTCATTGCAGGTGAACTTTGTAGAGGACAGTCTGAGGTCAGAGGAAGTGGAAAAGGGTGGAGAAACAAACACTAGAACCAGAGGAGCCAGGAAACCAGAGACTACCTTCAAAGGCCCTCTGCTGGATGTTAGGTATTGCTGGCTTTCAGATGACATCTCAACATTCTATAGTTCAATTTTATTTAATACAGAATGAATATTGTTAAAATGTGGGGTTTTGAGAGTTAATGAGTCTTGTTACTAATAGAGATCATCAGTACAATGTTATCAGTAGGAAAAAACTGATTCTTGCCCCCCAACCGAGAGTATGGTGTCATCACATTCTACAAGATGAAAACCACCAAATATCCAGTATGTAAATGGCTTCTGTGTTTCTTTATACCACATTGGTGTTGGTAATTGAAGTCTTACTGTAATGTTAAATGGTCCATATTGTGCAATTTTCTGATCTACATTATAATGTTGTTTCCTCATCAAAACACCCGAATATTACCCAGGCTTGTGTTTTGTTTCATTCACACATTTAACACACAAACCCTGCATATTTAGGCTCAAACATGAAATACTCTGGAATACTGGAATCATTTGGATAATTTCCTTCCTGGAATAATCAATCTCCACAGAACTAAGTGAAGTTAAAAGACAGCTGTTAACTTGAACACTACTCCTTGTAGCTTGTAGATGTAGACAGACTAATAAAGGGTTACTCAAACGTGTGAATGAAACAAAACACAACTCCAGGTATGTTTCTGAGATGATAACAACATTCTAACATGGCTTAAAGCTCACAAGAGTCAATTCAGTGTAATAAAGGACCTTTAATATCAACAGTATAAAGGCTGCTACACAAGCTTACTATATCAACAAATTCTTAAACATTGGAAAATTTTGAATATATTGTAACTGCCTTGTATCTAATGACAGAAATCACACACAACATATTGGCCGAAACCCTAAAGCCATTATTGATGTGTTTGTCCCATTATAGCTCAATGGGTCGATCACTTGTGTGCTGGCTTTAGGACTACAACTCAATCAATTGTTCATTGAGTGGAGAGGTGGTGCCTGTGTTAATAATTAACAGGGATACAGTAAAGAGTGGGTGAGCGTCTACCCCAGCCCCTGTTTTCTATTGGACGTTAGGTTTTAAATGAGCACAACTCAGAACGAGCACTGTAGTAGGAGGCCATAGCTTCAAGTAAATTCATAGTAGAGTACTTATTCTGCCCATATTAATCCACATGGTCATAAACAGTGTCCACAGAGTTATGTTTTGAAGCACTTTGATGTGAGGATTTTCCCTGCTCTGGGCTGTGAGTTCTACTGATAAACAGATTTAAATGAGCCTTAAACGCAATTATGTTTGGGAACTGTGCTCGCTTTAATTCAGAACTGGGGGCTTCAGTAGAGAGTAGGGGCTTTGATCTTGTGTTTGCCAAAGGTTTGGAGAGCCTAGAGACTTACTCTGAGCTCTAGCAAAAGCCGGCCTCTACAGCTGTTTTAAACCAACACAGAAACAGAGAAAGTGGGAAAAGTAGGTTTGTTTTTGGCGGTTTTACTCCATGAAGGAGACTCATGCTCACTGGGCATTGTAACCTATTTCTGAGTTTCTTTTAAGTAGACTTGTGTGATTTGAGCCAGATTCTTTTAAATGACAAAAGTATAGACTAGGCAAACTGTGGCAAATCTGATTAGTGATGCACTGAACAGGATTATTATGGATAATATGGCCTTGGGATGTAAGGCCATACACCAAAGAGGGCAATGGCTTTGTAAGAAAAATCGGAAAATGTTCATGTTTTCTAAACTGTGGCTCATAGGTCAAAAGTAAGCACCGTGTCAAAGGGACTGAGTCCGGAGTTATACATAGACATAATGCTTCGTATTGATCAATGTGTTTACATCTTCAACTAATTTGTTCTGTGTCACATTGTTGGATAATCCTATTTATTTTTACTTTAACCACTTAATATGGCATGAAAACCCCTCGTATTTTCTTGTGCCATATACCACATAATCCTGTATTTGCCAACCAATCAGTATTTGTCTTGATTATTTAAATCCAGATTACATTAGTTTCATTAGGACATAAACCCCCATGTTATGCTCATTGCATGTGTTCTGGTTTGTGACTTGCTTATTCACAGTCCTGCAGAGGAGCTCAGTTTCGGGTCTGGAGAAACAGAAAAGAAAAGCCTCATTATTTTGAGCAACGTGACCAAAAATCAAGTGGCCTTTAAGGTGAGTGTCTAGGCTCTAAATTATATATTCCAGAGACATACCACTGACCTGACTGATGTGATGGCATAGGTGCGGACAACTGCCCCAGAGAAGTACCGGGTTAAGCCCAGCAGCAGCAGCTGTGAACCTGGAGCATCGGTGGAGATAGTGGTGTCCTTACATGGAGGCAAGGCTCTTAAATCTACTCTCAACATTGTTTTCTGTGCCACAACTCCACAATACACTCAGGACATAGTCGATTACCTTTCTGAAGTGCTCACAGCCATTTTATGCTTGACACATATTTCACGACCGATAAAAGAAGTATGTCTTGTCTTCTCCAAAACAAACCATCAGACACAAGACAAGGTTGTATGTGTAAAAACATGTTATGGTTTTGACCACTCAAATCACATCTCAGATGTGGGTTATGCTCTGCTGCTTATAGCTCAGTAACTTCAGCACTGTGGCCTATTAAAGAATGATTTTGTTTGCACTTATTTTTCTATGATATTTTGTTGGTCAGTGAAGGGACTAAATGAGCAGCACTTCAGTTATTTATTATTATATTCTTGTTTTAATATTCTAATTAACACCCATGTTTTATGCCTGCCAACCATTTCTTCAGTAATTGTAATTTCTCTGCAGGCTCCCAGGCTTCCCCTCAAGACAGATTTCTCATTATGGCTGCTGAAATGGACAACGCAAGCTCACAAGAACTCACACAGTTTTGGAAAGAAGTACAAAAAACTAAGATCATGGAGCACAGGTACAGAGTGTTTTTTGTGATTTTTGCTTATCTCTATTGTGATACTGTGATAGTAAAGGCACATTCTACTATTATCTGATTCACAGGTTGCGTTGTCATCTCTTGGAGAGTATGAAACCCCCTCTAAGCCCACTCAGAGACAGCCCACTGGAGAGTATATGCAGCGGACAGCCAGACTTTGGCACGACGGTATGCTTCGCCCCCTACAGTTTTACATACTTGGACAAAAAGCTGCATTTATTCATTCATTCATCATTTGTATTCATTTTCATTTTTTCTCTAAACCACAAATATTTCAATGCAGGCTTTGGATGACAACTTTTTAACATATCCAACAGTAAGTTTGTAGTGTAGCTGTGGTGTGTAGACTGTTTATGTGAGCAAGTAGATACACCGTAGAAGTATATTTCTTGGCAGCTGTGTTCTTGTGTTAGGGCTGGGTGGTGTATGGCAACAAATAATAATAATTCAAATGTTTTTCCTCATATTGATTTATCTCAGTTTTTGATTAGATTAGATTTCTTTCTCTTTTCAAAAAATTAAAAATAAAGATAGTTGTTTGTATTCATTGCGTTCTTTGAAAAAAACAAACAAGGATGAATTCTGCTGCTCCAAACCACATGCTTTTATTGACAGAGGTTTGGCTGTAGGCTGTCCCCAAGCATATAATTGACGATTAGACATGACTGAACCTCAGTCTAGTCAAAATCAAATTCGATTAATTGCCCAGCCCTATCTTGTGCTCTCATTCAAGGATATGTCTGGTCTTTTTATTAACTATAAATGAGCATATCTTAATAGTTATTTTCCTCTCTTATCAGCTTATGAGAGTGATGGCAGCTAACCAGCGCATGGAGCTAAAGCTGAACACGTGTCTCTGGGTGCAGAAGGTCCTGGTGGGGCTGATCTTGATCCTGGTCACACTAAACCTGCTCTGTCTGTACCTGCTGGGCACCGGTCAACAGCGGCCATCTTGACCTCGGTAAAACCAGCGGCTGGACCGGTCGCCCAAAGAGTTTGGAGCGGGGCCTGTTTGAGGTCACCTGAGAGAAGGTTGTCCTGCCCTGGGAGAACGGGAGCTGCCACGCCCTCACAGCTGTCCCCGCAGACTGTTGCCATAGCGACGAGGGCTGTAGGGGCAAGTGAGTTGTCATGGAGCCACTGCGCAGAGATCTGTCTTATCAGGCACTTGAGCGTAATTTAAAACCTAACATTGTAAAATCATTAAGCTATTCCCAGGCCCTAATCAAAGAAGATAAACATATTTATTTCTGTTACATTATGTTTCAAAGATTAGCTATTTTTGCGATTATACTGTACACTTTTATATGATGCTAACTACAGTACAAAATAAACCGTTTTTATGTAGCTGTGCACATCTGATTTATTCTAGCTGATATTCACATCATGGTGGTGCATCACTTTAATAAGCTCTCATTAGTACAGTGGCATTTAATTGAAAACATTGCCATTGCGACCTTACCAATCCTCTCCACATCAAAACCAAGCACTCTCAGGAGATCTCCGTCCACAATCTTCTCCATTAGTTTTAATTACCCAGACTCCAGCTAACTAAAAATACCAAAGCAATTACTGCAGAGTACAAGGACACAGCACAACCTACTTGTAGCTTAGTCAGAAGAAACGATATCTATAACAAGATCCTACCCTGAGCAGCTGGGATGTGAGTGAAATGATTGTCTTTGCTCTTCTTCAGCTCTTTGGAGTCTGTGTGCATGGCTGATCACAGTAGGTGGTAGTGTTCATAATATGTGGCTAATTAGAAAGAGTTAAACCATAAGGACTGATCTAACAAAAAAAAAGTTGGACTGTTTAATAACTCAAAAAAATACTGTTTGGTGCAGCTTGTAAGGGACCTTGGACTTGTCAGTATCATAGAAAATCAAATGAGCAACACACACACACTCGATAAGAGGGCTAACTACTCGGCTGCTTAACCTTTTACTACTGTTTGGCTGGGAATCACGGGGTGCATCATTTGATTCGATACGATACGCGGCTCGCGATACAATATTATCACTATATGACGATACATGAGAGAAGAACCAAATACATTTTAGCAACAATATTTCTTTGTTAAACCACCACGTGTGCTAAGTGAATATGAAATCCATCTATTTTGATTATTAAAGTTGCTTAAAATAGTTTCCTTCCACTAAAAAACCAACAACATTGAAGTATAGTCACACAAAAAAAAATGCTAAAAGATACCAAAAATATGCGATATATCAATACAGCAGCCCTACCTTCTACTACATCAAAGTACCATATCTAAATATTTTTTTTGCTGTTGTTGTTGTTTTTTTTCATATTGGATCTTTTAAATCAGACATGTCAAACTCAGGCCCAGGGGCCAAATTTCACCCTCGATATAATTATATTTGGCCCGCGAGATCATATCAAATATGTATAAGAGCTGGCCCGCTAGCTACAGATAGGATATACATTATTTATTTAAAATTGTATTATTATTTTATATTCTGCTTGTTCTGGATTCAATGTTTAAGCAAAACTATTATGAAACATTTATTTTAATAAGAAAAGGTTTAACATTACATATCTCGAAAGAAGAGAAAACATGCAGAAGTTGTCGACTTAGTTCCAGTTTTTAATTTTGGTCCTCTGTGAACTTGAGTTTGACACCCCTGTTTTAAATTATGTGGGCAGTCCCATAAAGTACAAGTTATAGTTTTGTGTTCAGTTTTCAGTTATAGCAGTATTGAATTGCATCACAGTATCATGAGAACATTTCAGGAAATACCCAAGGAGGCCCCAAGCAAGACAGACAGCAGCTACCAGTAAAGCATGGTTCAGTTGCAAGCAAAGTAATTCAGATAGTTAAATTACCAGAACAACTTGTCCCACTCGATTTTCCACATCTCATTTACAGCTGCAGATGTTGTCCATGCTTAGCGGCTGGTTCAGATGTACAAATCTCATGTTTATTGATTTACCATTAAAATGCGGTACATTGAAAATAAAAAAGTGCTGTTGTTCTCTGATGAAAGCCTTTAGGGTAATGTTCAGAATGGGGCTATGATTTACTCCAGTGACAAAGTGGATCAATGAAAGTTAATGAACAGTTACATTTAATACGGAAAGTGTGGTTCAAACATCTGTTGCAGCTGCCATTAAGGAGAATTCATCCTGTTGTTTGTAGCATTGTTATCATGATGACTTGCCTTGCTCTGCTTTTAGTGTGTTTTCTAGAGATTTCCGTCTGATATGTGAAGGCTCCACTGATTGTGTGTAAGTTCAGGCTGCCACGTAGAGGTCAAAGGTTGGCGAGTCTATATGGAGTTGTTCTCAGACGACATTATTACCGCTGGTGCCTCAGGCCGCTACATACAGTATTCATGGGTACTGTGTGGATGAAAGCACTGAAATAATCAGTAGCTGTGTCCTTCTAAAGTTTAATAATGTTGCTATGAATAAATATAAATGAATATTTTTTTATACGACATACAACAGTGTTTTAAATGACTTTTATTACAAATTGCAGATTTTTCTCCTTGACACATTACAAAGAGAAACTGGAACTGTTGTTGTTTGTTTTCTCTTAGTTTCTATCTTATCTGATGTATGTTATTTTTTTTTTACTACAGTGTTTCTACAGTGTAAATCTATTAAATATAATTAATTCCCCTAGAGTTCCCACATCCACAATTGCATAAAATACTTAAAGGTGCATTGCTCAACCTTTCTGGTGAAGGGGCTGCTACCTACTTGTCTCCATGGAGATGTTATTGCTTTGCCTGAAATGTTCCATGGTATGACATTAATCATATCCATCTAGCATTTATTAATTACGGGTGATTACTATTGCTTAAAAATATAATAATTCCCTCTGTGAATAAGGGTGACTTTCCACAGACCTGATCTGTAATGTAGTGTAATACTGCTTGTCCCCCTTATGATTTAGGTTTAATTTATATTGCGGAACATTCTAGACACATTAGAAATGTTACACAGTGCACCTTTAAACAAAGTCTGAAACAAGACTTAAACAAAATAAACAGAGTAGAAAGTCGCAGCTATACTCACCTGTTTTTATTTTTGAGAAGTGCCATAACCAAAATACAATACAATACATAATCAATACATAATGAAAAATATTGATAATGTTTGAAAATTTCACAGTCACGTTTCCATCAGCATTATCAGTAGTAATGTCATGCCCATATGTATATTAATTAAGTAAAATAAGGTGGAATTTAATTTCAGCCTCTACATAAACATTAAATACTGTGTAGTGTCTGTAAAGCTGCACAAGGGCGCCCCCTTTTGACCTTAAAGTGAAGCTCATGTGTTAATGTGATTTAATCCGTCTTGACTCTGATTGGTGGAGGAGGTAGTGCTTGAGTTCATTAGGAATTTGCAGGTCATGGATTTCAGACAGTCTGTTCTTGCCCACAGTTCTCCTGATGATCACTCTGCACAGCTTCAACAAGGAGCACTCCTCTGAAAACACAAGATATGCCACTGTAAGAGCGAGATTCACATACATTAACAGTACTGATGTTATTCGAAAAAGTTAACAACTGCAATAGAGACTTGAGGGAACACAAGAAGCCATAATAACACGAGGAGACACAAAACTGTATATTTATAGGAAAGAAAATATATGTACTATACTACTACAACTGTTTTTGGTGGGCGAACTACAGGGGACAAAACTACCTGGGCAATAAAATACTGGGTTACAAAAAACGGGGAAAGTGTACTGTACTGTATAAAATCATAAATAAATTGTCTTGAAAATATCTTGAATTGGGAATATTTATCTTGCTTTTAGTACATTTGGTAGTAAGGGGACAAAAATGACCTATGAAATAAGTAATATTTCATTTTACATACGCAAAAATATCTTCTTGCACTTAAAAAAAAAAAAAACACTACACAAATCAAAATTTCAAGCTACCCTGACCTTCCTAATTTGAGAAACCTGCTTTTTCAGTGTAACCAGCCTCATATTAAAACAAAAAGTCTGACCAAAACAAATACCTCCTACTTGTTTTAGCAGTTGCGCCACCTGGCTGTTGGGAGGGGCTATGTCCAGCGGCCGTTTTCCTTGTGGGTCTCTGAGGTTGTGATCCGCCCCGTGCTCCAGCAGTGTGGACACTATCTCCGGGCAGGACAGGCGCACCGCTGTGTGAAGAGGAGACTCTCCGCTGACCATGCTGTTTACATTAGCCCCTACAGGAGGTGACATTGGAGCTTAGAGCAACTAAACTCCACAAAGCACACAACCAGACTTTTAGGAGTAACTTAAACAGATTTCACATGGATACAAGCTGAAGCAGTGGGTTATTTTAGGTCGGAGAGGTGAGAAATATTCTTACCGAGTTGGAGTAGTTTTCTGACAGTGTTGAGCTGCTGATGCCTGCAAGCAGTTTGAAGAGGAGAGCCTGATTGCTCGATGTGCTGGTCGACATCGGCGCCAAACTGGACAAGTTGCTCTATGCACTCCACGTTATCTGCAGGGAAATATAAGCATGAGATGATACACACTTTAAATACTATTGTATTTAAAGGGCCCATATTACGCTAGTTTCTGATTTATGTTATAATTCCTCATGGTTCCTAATGACAAACAAACTTGGGGTTGTGTTTTGTTTAATTCACGTATGTTTAAAACACAAACCCTGCATATTTAGGCTGAGTTCTTCTCTCAGACTGAAAACACTGTTCCACCTTATGATGTCAGGTGATAATACAGGAATCTCTACTGAACAAAAGTGAAAAGGTAGCTGTTAATTTCAAAACTTCATGACCTCACAAGGTGGAACAGAGCATTTTGAGCTTTGGAGATGTAGACAGACTAATAATAAAGAATTACTCAAACATGTGTGAATGAAACAAAACATGACTAAAAGCTCATAAGAGAATTTTGTGTAATATGGGACCTTTAATCCAAAATGTACATTGAAAAGATAAAATAGGTGACCAGTGTTTACTGCAGCAGTACATTTTGTTTCTCAGTACTCACTGATGACACTTGTACTTTTATATATTTTGTGCAAGATAAGATTTGTGCTACAGAGAATGAACTAGCTTCAATATTCTTGTTTACTGAGATATTTTCTATTGGCATATATTGTAGCTCAAAATGTGATATTTTGGCAGGCCTAGATACTACTGCTTCAAATTATGGTTCAGCTTGACTACAGGTAAAAGAATTACTAGGGGGAGTACCGTACTTCTAGAAATATACTGGTGTACTATATCACTTCATATCACTACTAAAAGCTCACCTGTTTAATCTGGCATTCCCCCCATGATTTCCACAGTTGTATACTACTGTTTCTTATTGTTTGTAAAGTGTCTTTGAGTGTCCAAAAATGCACTATATACTGTATGTCTGATGAATTATTATTTATGTCACTATTATACCACAGAAGAGAAAGTAGCCATACAGAGGAGCTCTCTAACCTTTAGCCGCAGCCCTGTGTATTGGAGAGCTGGACAGACTGGTCCCTGTAGGAGAGGCTCCATGCTGCAGCAAAACAGAAACACAGGCCCCATGACCCCTGGCACATGCCATTGCCAGGGCTGTGTGTCCATCCACTGTCCGACTGTTGATCTACACACACACACACACACACACATTCATGAATAAATCTATGTAGTCTTTAGATAGTTGTATACAAAAAGAAAGGATTTTTGGACATTTTTGACAACTATTCATGTTTAATTATTGTCAGAGAGTTAAATTGTGTCCATGTGTTGTTTTGCAGTTGGTTAAATACTCACAGCTGTGCAAGTTAACTCTAACAATAATTCATTACAAGCCAGAAAGAAAGACAATTTGTTTTCATAGAATCTTACTGACGTTTGCCCCATTTTCCAGCAGAAGTTTGGCACAGGCTGTATGTCCTTGTGTGCAGGCGGTGAGGAGAGGAGAGACCCGGTCGAGAGTGTTGAGATTCACACTAAAACCCTATGAAGAGATCTGATTTGAGATTACATGCACGAAGCATTCTATAGTAAATAACACAGTCTACGGTCAAAATGGGATTAAGTTACCTGAGAAATTAGCCTTCGAAGGGAGAGAACGTATCCATTGAAAGCTGCATCATGCATTTGCGACCAGTCCGACTCATAATCTTGTCAGAAAAACATACACAATTTTCAATATTATTAGGTTGCACATACTGTACTAACAGACTTAGATAAACTTTATTGATCCACAAGGGATTTGGACACAGTAGCTCACACATCACAATATATTTTATAATAACAAATATTATGTAAACACTTTATTAGGTGTTTTCTGTTTTCATAGTAGTATTGTTGGAGGAAAACTGTACAGAACTTTACTTAAATCAATCTTGATCTCAAAATGAGTGCAAGAACATTGACAGGGAAGTAGGAAGCAACAGCAGAGAGAGAAGGAAGCAGCTGTGATTATTGCAATAGTCGTTGTAGTAGTTACAGCAATGAACAAAAGCAATGTTAAGTGCAGATTTGGAGTACTTATTCAACTTTGCATACATTCACAGCAGTGCTTATATTTACATCTGGTTTGTATAGAAGTGACTCACCACTCATGAGCGGGTTGGAGAAGACCACAGCGTTCCCAGTTGGGCCACTTGCATCAGGACATGTCTCTTTGTCGCACACTGACATAGTTGACAGTGGAGTTCCCAAATCCCCTTCACGGCCCAGTGCTTAGGCTTCATGAGCAGAGCTGTGCAGGCTGATTTTTAACTGGGTGTCAAAACAAAACTCAGCTTTGGCACGTCTCGTTAAAACATGCATGAGAGGCTGTGCAGAAAACAGGTTAGGTGAGGATGAGAGGGCCAATGACAACACAGAAGAGAAGGAGAACTACCTGTAATTTGACACGAGAGATACTCGCCCATCCCACACAGACACAACTGCAACTTTATAGATAAGAAACATTAAAAACAGACTCCACACTTTCCTCAGTATCTCAGATACTGAACAAAGTGCACAATGCTCTGCTGGAGTCAAATTAATATTAGGCACCAGGAGAGTCAGTTCAGACAATGCAGTTACACTGGGGCCCCAAGCCCTGAGGGGCTTTTTCTACCCTGTTTGTCTTATGAATCACCCAGCACTGCTCACATTGGTTCTATTCCTCACACTTTAGAGGGCATATCAGTAAGAATAGTGTCCTCTGCCAGGGTTTTACCCACGACAAAACAATCTAAGTTGTTTTTTTTTTTGTTTTGTTTTTTTTGTCATCAGACAAAAGAAATGAATGAAGTAATACTGACAATCAAACATGTTACACAAAATTTTTGCAAGCTTAATGCTACAAGTAAAATGTTGTGAAGGGTTTCATTTGTAAGCATGCTGCTACTGGTGCATTTATTATTTTTATTAAATCTTGAATAATATATTTATTCTAAAGACGTTTGTTTATTTTGTTGTTACTGTAGGGATTAAGTTTCTGTGGTATCAGAAACATTGTTCAAATGAATATGCTCAGTGTTCTGCTTTGTGTTTATCTTGAGTTGACCAGCAGAGGGCAGCATGAGACAGTACATGCAGAGCATGGATCTATTATAGTTGATGTAGAGCAGTAAAAGAGCAGCCAGTCAATGGAGCTCAGTGGTCCTCTGGGGGTAGTTAATCTCTGGCAGCCACTGACCTGCAATACAAATGACTTTGTGCCTTGTCAGAGAAGGTGCTCGTGGATTTAAATGCCATTGTAGAACCTCAATGAATGCCCTTTTTTGTTTGAGCTACGGGAAACCATTGCTGCTTTGTTTTTGCACATAAATCTGTTTCAAATGCCCACCACTTTTTCAGATCTCATTCCAGGCGTTTGCACACAGCATCACTCTCTGCCCTTTGACAGCCTGTCACGGGAACAGCTGAATACATCACAGAATATGTTAAATTTGGACTCCTAATGTAAAACAAATCAATGCACAGGCCATTTCAATGATAATAACCTGTCTCTACTTAGGTCTGTATTATGCAAGTGTGTAGCGTAGAGCTGATTTCTGCCACAATTTACATGGATTGTGCTACACAAATTTTAAAGGGTTCATATGAAGATAATTCATTGAAAAGATGGTGTGATTTAATCATAGAAAACATTTACAGCTTTCGATTCAAATTTCCATTTGAATTGGCCCAATTATGGCTTAATTTGTAATAATGTTTCTTCAGTATCCAAACATAAAATCATCCTTGTCCTTGTGTTCCCTCTGCCGTGCAGCTGTAACCTAACCATGCCTGATCAAAAGATTTATATAGGCCAGGACTATATAGGCCTATAACAAAGCCTATAATTATAATAAATGTAAGATCCAGCATGGGGCACGGCTAATGAAGTGTAAGATCTATAGTTGTAGGATACTGTGACTGTCAGAATAAAAGAATCTAAAATAAACTCTGATACTAAATGTAAGATATGAGCACACAACTTCTTACACAGCGCTGCTTTGTCACTGTCTGGTATTGTGGGCCAGTTAAGCCAGAGGATTAAATAGAAGCACATGATGATTCAGCCCCGTGATTTCTCAGAGTTAGGTCATGGACTCAACCCGATTCCTCTTTTTTCTTTTCCTTTTCTTCTCTCTTCTGACACGGTAGCCCACTTCGGCCCAGGCCGCGGTGCGTGCGTAATGGCGTCTCCCAGATTGGAGACGTTCTGTTGCCCGAACCGGGACCCTGCGACCGACTTTGTGGTAACTTTCCAGCCTGTCCTTTTCGTAGCTTTAACTTTAGGAAGCGCTGTGTTCAGTGCCATTTCAGCTATCATACAAATTTTGCCAAAACGCAAAGGATACAGAAGACTTGGACAGAACCCTCTGCCTCGACCTGCCTCCTCTTCAAGAATCCTCTTCATCATCAGCATCTGTGACATTCTGGGATGCGCAGGTAAAGTGCAAACGTGCTGATAGCATAAAGTTAGCTTTCTTTACTGTAAAAATACTGAACAAAGTACTTCCCTTCTGCATGTCTGTGTTTGATTATGTGGCACAGGAATTTTAACCCTTTTGTGTCCTACATTTTTGCATTAATAGTATTACACTATAGACTTAATACTAGAATACTACCCCTAAAGGCTATTTCTACTTCTGCTGTTATCACTGGTATTACTATAGTACTACTGCTGCTACTACAAATACTAGTAGACTATATATTATTATCATTAATGCACTGGATGCATACATACATAAACACATGAACAGACATTATACATGTTTCTATCTGTGTTTGATACAGGCTCTTATGAATCTTATGAAATTATGTCTCTTATGAAAGCTGTTACAGATAGATCCCGAGGAATCTTCAAAACTTCATTCATTGAGACTTAATAACTTTAGAACAAGCCAGAAATATAGTTTGCCTGTAAACAAGTATGCAAGTTTCTTAAACTCATTGTAACCATCTGATCTGTTTTGTCCCACAGGTATTATATTAAGGTCCTGCGTTTGGCTGGGTGTACCCAACATCATTGAAGAGATCTCAATGGCGAACAACACTAAAGTGTGGCCGGAGGTCTTCTGTGTCAGCAGTGCAGTACGTATTAAACTATCCAAACCATTCAAAATATATTAACACACAAATATTATTAACAAGATGAAGTGTGACTTTATCACTCCCCATTCCTGCTTTACAGATGTGGATCCAGTTGTTCTTTAGCGCCTCTTTTTGGTGGACTTTTTGTTATGCTGTTGACGTATTTCTGGTGGTGAAAACATCAGCAGGGATCAGGTGTAGTTTTATTCATTATCACCTCAAGTAACACCTTTTATAAAAAGAAATCACACAAATCCAACAAATATTCCCCTGTACAATTAGATAAATGTGGAAATTTCACTTGTTGTTTTTCAATTACACACCTTCTATCCAAAAGGAGAATTGCTCAGATGAATACTGATCAGTTCTCCTTTTGTTTCTTCTTCTGCACCTTAGGGATCAGTTGCTTTGTACAATGTATTTGTTCATCCTCTTGGACCAAACCTCTGCTCATGTGCTGTGAACTCTGTCTCATGACTGGCTTTCTCTCCTCCAGCACCATTATCTTGTATCACATGATCACTTGGGGTCTGGCAGCTCTGCTTTGTGTTGAAGGCGTGGCCATGCTCTACTATCCATCCATCTCGGAGTAAGACTAAATGACCCTTTTCATGATAAAATTAAGCCATGAATGAAATATTGTACTGTATTTCTTTTTTTTAAAGGTCACGTATTACGTAAAATTCGCTAAAAGTGAGCTTTTAGTCTTGTTTGAATGAATGTTGTTACCTTTTCAAAAACATACCTGGAGTTGTGTTTTCTTTCATTCACACATGTTTGAATAATCCGTTATTATTAGTCTGTTTACATCTCCAAAGCTCCAAATGCTCTGTTCCACAATGTGATGTCATGTAGTGGCAGTTTTTACTTTAACAACTACCTTTTACTTTTAATTTAGTAGAGATTGGCAATTTCAGGCCTGAAATAATCCAAATGATTCTAGTGAAGATGTATGGAGTTTAAAAACACAGTGGAGCACTTTCTGTATTACCGCATTGACAAGGTAGAAAATAATGTTTTCTGTTTGAGAAAAGAACTCAGTCTAAATATGCAGGATTAGTGTGTTAAACATGTGTAAATTAAACAAAACACAACTCCAGGTATGTTTCTGATGAGGAAACAACATTATGACATAGATCAGAAAATAGCGTAATATGTGCTCTTTAATAATCCTGACTATTAAAATAATCATAATCATATTTGAATACTTGTGATTGTTATGTTATCTATGTAAACTGTAAAAAGACTTTTTAGCACAAAGCAAAATTGAAAAACTATAGATTTTTATCACAATTTGAAAACTGCTTTGTTTTGTGACAGTTGTGAGCAGGGCCTGCAGCATGCCGTGCCCCACTACGTCACTACTTATGCGCCAATGCTCCTGGTCCTCATAGTAAACCCTGTGTTCTTTAGCCGAACCACATCCGCAGGTACATTCATTCATTCATTTCAACTTCTTCATTGACTGTGACACATCCAGATCCAGTTATAACTCTTCTTGTGTTGTGTTTCTCCTCTAGTTACATCTTTACTGAAAGGTCGTCAAGGAATATACACAGAGAATGAGAGGAGGCTAGCCAATGAAATCAAAATGCGTTTCTTTAAAATAATGCTGGTTTTCTTCATATGGTAAGATTTATCTGGGATTTGCATGCATTAGGCATTATTTTAGCCCTGGCAGTGAGTATACAACCATGGACTCGCATTAGGTAATCAAAGTCAAAAAGCTCATTTGCAATACTGTAATAAAGATCAGTACTTCATGGCATGATAACTACAAGAATGCATGAAAATTGAAGCTAGTAATTTCATATAAAAGACACCAGTGAAGATAATAAGTTGCCCTCTTTACGTAAAAAAATACTACTATCAACATCTATCAACAATTTGTCAATCCATTTTGAATAAATTAATGTTGTGGCCAAAATGTTGAAGCAGCCATTGCAAAAAAGCATAATCACAAAAGTACACAGTAGTTTACCACCTTTACCATTTAATCACATACCTTTCATGTCAAATTTCTATGTTTTGTATGTTCTAATATACAATCAATATAGATAGAAAACACTTTGAAAACTTCATAAAAAGCTGAAATCTAATCATCGAATGTATAAAGAAGTGGACTAAGGGTTCGGTTCCAGTCAAATGAAGCTCACGATGCTGGAAGTTTGGGGTGATTTTGGAGCAGGGTTTCATATTAGGAATAGAAATTTATTTACAGACAAAATAGAAAAATAAAAACCAAAATTATGAGACTCCCTGCAGAAGTTAAAAAGAGATGGGCAACAATTTTTCAATGTGAAGTCAACTGGAAACAGAGTGGATGGACCTGGAAGTATCCCCATGTTCACTTCCATTTTGGATTGTGGCGGGAAGCTACGTAAGTCCATTTATAATAAGTAGTTTATGAATCCAATCCAGGATATAAATGTCAGACACTGCCCTAGTCATTTTCTCCTCGTAGTTGTTTCAAAATGTTTCCAGACAAACTTTGCCACACAAAAGCTTTACATTTCACAACTTAACCATTTGAAAGGTCTTTGAAGTGCTCTTGAGTTCTGTGTCCTGTTTCAGCTGGCTGCCCAACATCATCAATGAATGTCTGCTCTTCTATCTGGAGATGCAGACGGACATCAATGACAGCACTTTCAGGAATATCAGGAATGCTGCTCTAATCACATGGTTTATAATGGTGAGTTATCCTGAATCAAAACTATTACAATATCACAACATTCCATAAGCCAGTGATATTTAATATGGTTGTGGGGAAGCCAAAATAAATGTAGTTAAAATGGATTTTAAATTATCTTGTAATGCAGTGAGTTCTTGGCTCGAGTCACTAATAGAAATGATCAGGTTCCACATTCATTAACATTTTGGATATTTCACGGTGAATTACAAGGTTATCAATGGGAAAAAACTGTCTCTTGACCCCCTTCTGGGTTTATAATTATATCATGACATGCCAGATTCTAAAAATCTCGATAATATTGGTGTTTTTCAGATTGTCATACTCTCAGATGGGGGGCAAGAGACAGTGTTTCCTATTGATTACATTGTACTTTGCCATGAAATAATCAAAAGGTAAATTAACATATCTTGAACCCAGAAATTTATGTCATTGACTAGACCTAAAACTCGCTGTATTCCACAAGAAAATCTGCACTTTAACAATATTAATTTTAGCTGCCCCATCTGTATTAAAGGTGCACTGTGTAACTTTTCTAGTGGAGTGTCCGTCAAATGCTTTTCACCATGGAGATGTTATTGTTTTGTCTGGAATGTTCCACAGTGTGGTATTAAACCTTTCTATCTTCATGGAGACCAAACCAGACCAAGTTACAGGTCAGATCTGTGGAGAGGCGACCCCACTGACAGTTAGAATGTCTGTTTTTCTAGGTATTTTTGAGCTATGAAACCACCTGTAAATGAATAAATGTAAGCTAGAGTTGTTTAATGTCATACTGTGGAACCTCACAGTTAGAGCAATGACATATCCACAGCAACACAATATGATTCAAAATAATTACCAATTCTCTACTCATATTATTGTCATTCTTTTGTGGTTCCAGGGTATCCTAAATCCGATGCAGGCCTTCCTCAACACTCTGGCCTTCCACGGTTGGACTGGGTGCCACATTGACCTGAGCCTGCAGAGGAGGAGAGAGCTGACCTGGGACTCAGTGTCTACGTCAGCCCCAAACACAACAGGCCATAACACTCTGGAAGGGACCACCTTGCTGTACCAGAGCCATGTGCAGGATGTGAAGAGGAACATGGTCAGTAATGGGCAGCACCAGTCCGATGCCATCAGTGTGCTGTCTGAAGGTAACTGGGCCCAGAGTGTTGGCAGCAGCTCCCCTGTGTACCAGGGCTGGTGAATCTGCCTCTCTACTGCTAGCTGTTGTTTACATGAAGGCTATGGCCAGACACTGTTTTATATGAGACACTTTCTTCTCTGCAGTAAAGGCTGAAAAATACCCACTGAAGACTAAACCCTATGTGTGTGGTGAACTTTTTTATTGCTTTAAGTTCTAATGTTACAAATTTGTCCCTCACAATTTGGCACTGAATCATCCTGATATGAAAGGCTACATTAAAAGCCTCTGCATGCCAATTTGTAATACTAGAAATTACTTAAAATCTCTAAGATGAGATCAAAATTAACCAGGTGAGGAAAAATTATTTGAGAAAAACTAATTTTAGAAATTAGAGGTATTGAGAAATAATCATGTAGAGAAATCTAGGAAGCAAGCATACGAATGAACATAACAACCAGTTAACTCAAATAAAATGCCGATGTATTGTCTCACAGCTACATGCAAATGTATTTTGGGATGACTTTGTAAAGTCTTTTTCTACCATTTTGTAGTATTTTTCATACATAATGTTTCTGTGAACTATTAGAAATAAAGTTGTCTTTGTAAAACACAGTTTCTCTATGAATTTCTTACTAAATAGAAATGGGAAATCCTAAAGCAAACTTGCAGGTTAAATTAAGTCCCAAAATACATTTTTAATGACCTTGTTTAACAGAATAATAGGATGCTTAATGAGCCTCCAGTAATTTGCCCCCATCTTTTGTGTTTGTTTTGGCTAGGTTCAGAGTCTAGTACAATTGAAATCCACATTTCCAGTGAGCTACGAGAGTATGAAGACATAGATGCTGATGGAGAATCCTTGGGGACCTCTGTAAGACATTAGCTGGGTCCATCCCTCATCACTGCTGTGTGCCTTTGTGCCTTGTGTTCTGCTATATTATAAACAATAGTATAGACATTATAGAAATTAGAAAAGAAAATGTACTTTACATATCAGAATGTATCTTCATTAGAAGAATTCTATAGAGTTCTCTTTAAGTCCCATTAGCTCAACATTCAGAGCTTTACATATCATATTAAAATGGTTACTTGAAGACAATATTGTCCATGGCAGTGGTATAATCTATGGTGAAAGTGCAATAAGATGAAAAAACACTTTACACTACATTGTTGTATTCACTAAATATGTAGGTAGGTTATGTTTTTATGTTTTTTCTTATGTAATGTTCATTTATAAATAAAAACACAAACAAGACAAGAGATATGTTCATTTCCGATATCAAAATAGAGTGATTTATTTGAGACAACGAATGACTTCAACATTTTGTCTTGGAAACAGATGTTCCAACCCTGGAACAGGATCAGGGGAGATAATAGCTGTCACAGCACATACTCCATATGGGGCTCGGCACCACACCATGATGGCTATCAACTAAAAGCCCAATTCTCAGTCTGACACAGACGATAATGGCTCTCAGCAAATCCAAATGTCACAAAACAAAAGACCCGCCCATCAAAAACAATGTGACAAAAGAACAGTTAAACCTTGGCCCTTCATGCACAGCAAACTCACAGCATTTGCTGTCCCACCATTAGAAAAGTGCACTTCACATTGCTCTAAACAGAACGAAAATTACAAAAGGCAAATAAACGATGGTGTGTCAGAAGATAGTGAGAAACAATGGAAAAAGCAACAGTGGCCCCCCACATTGCAGGTGTTTCATATACACAAAGATTTGATAAGCTGCAACATAAGAAGTGACGCATTATATCTACACATGGTTGGTTCTCAGTTTAAAATCTGAAATTTTCAATAGATCATTTTGCAGAAAGTGCCAAAGACAGTTATATAAAATACTTTTTCTCCTCTGGTTGCATCTGCGTTTTGCCAGTGGCACATTCCTCCAAGAACAAAAGTCTGAAATATTTTGTGACAGACAGAAAGGTAGTAAAACAAACATTGAGCCACTGGTGATCAGAAGTCATGGCATCTGCCATTCATGGACCCCTCAGCGTGGAAATAAAGCATACGGTATATAAACATATTCACACAGTATATAAGTCTGTGTATTTATCGCATTTACATTTCTTTACATTCTTTATATTTACATCCAAAGGGAGAAGATTCTCTTTGTCAATCACACATATCACATCTTTCCTATAGACAACTCAATTAAGCAGGATGTGATCATGATTCCTTGGCAGAGATTTCTATTCGCTGCCATGTTTTTATGACGTCACATTCAGTTTTGACTTTAAATTACCCATCTGTGGAAAAAGACATCACAAAGAACTCTTGAGACCAACTGTTCTCCTGGAGACGTTAAGCACCCTGTGTATCAGCAGACATCAGTATATGCTACTGTCATCATGTTTTCAGCTTAAATCTGACACACAGTCATTCATTCATCTCTGCTGCATACCACATGATCGCTCACTTTATATAAAACACACTTTTGTGTTGTCACTTGCTCCAGTTCACAAATGGAACAGCCAACATAGATACCACAACAGCTCATTAGGGTTCACCAAGAGGGATACATTTGTCCATAGACAAGGGAGTCTGGGTTCTTGGGCCTCCTCTATGCCTCAATAGGTGCTTGATAAAATTCACATCACAAACTGTAAGGTGCACAGATTTCAGTTTTTGGCTCCACTGAGGCTGTTGCAGTCACTCTTCTGGTCCACTCTTTACAAACAGCCCTTCTTGAGCAGTGTGCGCATTTACTGATGAACAAGGCATTTTGATGCACATTCCTGAATTCATCCGGGAATATAAATTCTCAAGTAGCTATTTCCGAAGATCGAGGACACAAACCTGCAAGACAAGTGTGACTTTTAAATAATACTCCAGTGCAACAAAATCTCAGATGTTTAAACTGGATTAACACTAGTGATAAATTAATTAATGATTAAGAGAAAATATGAACAAAAAATGTTGCCCTAGATAGTAGTTAGTAGAGGTTTGTTTTGGCAGTAGCTTCAATAATAGTAACATTTGAAGTATTTGCCATACAGTAACAAAAACATCTCAAATGAAAAGAACTACAAATTCTTGATCATGGTCATGGTCTCAATAACTTACCGATCCATCGGACGCACTGGCTCCAACTTTGTCCCCTGTGCTGTTCCAACAGACCTCAAATATACCCCCAGTCCCTCTGTAGCTGTGCACCAAAGCTCCACTCTGCAAACAAAGGAAAGTCATTAAGAGCAGCCCGATGAATCTGGAGTAACAGCCAATAACAATGGTTGGGCACTTACCGTAGTGTTCCAAATATGAACACACTTGTCAAAGGAGCCGCTGGCGAGGTGTTTCCCGTCAGGACTGAAGGCCACACTGTAGACTGGCTCCTGGTGCTTGGTGAGCGTGTGAATACAGACCCCTCGCTCCACGTCCCACAGTCGCACCGTGGAGTCGAAAGAGGCACTGAGGCACAAAAGGAAGGCACTATTACACTGCAGTATAACTAAAGTCTTGTGCAATCACTGTGTTTAGATTTGTAGGGCTATTGCCATTGCATACAATGGTGTTTTTCAGATTTAATCCTTGGACAGATATTCTGGGCTGTACATTCCTGTGGCAGTGACCCATGCAGTCACATTTACACATGCATGCACATCTGGGTCAGGGTTATACTTAACAGATTCTTAAATATTTTTTTGAAAAATTAATTTCTATAATACCATGTGCACAATGAATATGTGGATGGCAATACATGCCCAGAGAACATGTATTACATAAAAAAGATTGCAATAGTCCATACCTAGCAAGCATGATATTAGAATTGGGATTGTTGGTCCCTGGGCCGGTAGGACTCCACTTGATAGTGTAGATCTCTTTACTGTGAGCCTGAAGGTCATGGACACATGTTTCCTGCTTCATACTCCAGATCTGTGTGTAAAAGAAACACAGGTTAAATGCTAATCTAATAAAAACAAAGACTTTATTAGTATTCAGAGAGGCTCCTACCTTTAAGGTCATGTCATCTGAACAGGATGCGAGCAGCATGCCTGATGGATCCCACTTAATGGCATTAACTTCATTCTACAGAGAAGAAAGACGGCATTAGCTTTGATGAGACAGTTTACAGTGCAGAGGTTTGAGTGAACCCCACTCACCGTGTGGCCCTGAAAGGTCTTCAGGGGCCGGTCGTTGCCAAGGCGACATACATGAATGCACATGTCTGTGCTGCAGGAGGCAAAAGTAGTGTTGTTTTGCCAGTCCACATCCAGGGCTGGGGCTGCATTAATATAGATCATAATTATTACAATTATACACCAGTAAGAGCAGTGTCTGAGCTTTTATTTGCTGTATAAGCTTTTACCTGAGTGAAACGGAAACTGCTGCTTCGCCTCTCCTGTGTGCGCATCCCAAATGATTGTCGTCTTTAAAAAACAGAACAGAGCTTATTAAGAAATATTTATTACAGAAAATAAGGAAAAATTTAATTAAAAGAGAAATGAAATACCTTATCTACTCCAGCGCTGAGAATAGAATTCCCCTTCTTGTTCCACTTCAGTGCAAATATTGGCCCTTTGTGTTGCCCCAAGGTGCTAGCCAGATTTCCTAGTGGAAGACAGTCATATTCAAATCAGAGAAAAGCTGATAATTGAATACATTATGAAAACTTATAGTATTCACATATGTATGCTATTAGATAACATACCATCTTTTGTCCATATCCGGGCAAATCCATCATATGAACCTGTTGCCAGTAGTGTCCCGTCACTCTGTTAAAAATATAAGATCATAGTTACTCAGCTGTCCTCCCAGGTGCGTTTGTGAAAATTAAAAGTGGAATCATGATAGATGGAGGATAAATGGATGATAGTGGGCGTACATTCCAGTCTAGTGAGGTGACGTCTTTGTTACTGGGGACGTCCTGGCCTCCCTCTCTGATACAGTGTCGGAGCACCAGCTGCGTGGAGCTGGAGCTGTTATTTTCATTCAGGTTCCATATCCGAGCAGTGGAGTCTCCCGAACTGAACACACAAAGAGAGACAAACGTTAAACCATGAATGACACAAGGCCTGTCACGTTATCAGACTTTGATGTGCCATATACTGCTGTACAAAAAAAATATATATATTAAAAATGATTAAAGATAATATTGACTACTTGATACCACATAATCGCAGTATCTCTTCTTTTCTAAATGTACAATACTGTAAGATATTAAAAAGAACTGTAAAAAATAGATAGCAGAATGAAACAATTACTGGAGTGCACTCAAAAATCTCATTATTTTCAGATTACAGGAGTTGTCTGATTTTGACATGACATGTAAACAGAAAAATAATCTGATTTCTTTCTAAACATTGGAACTCCAATTACTCATCTGATTTTGTGGGTTAGGTGCCATTTGAATAAACTGACAACTATGGAAATCTGGTAATAATCTGATTTTTGTGTGCATGTAAACGGACACTAAAAAAGTCAGCTCAAATGTGAACGTAACTTTAAAAAAAAAAAAAAAAACATTCCCCGCTATTCAAAGATAACGTAAAAAAAAAAAAAAAAGAATACTTGTTAAATACTGAGCCCCAAAACTATTATTCTTTCTATCACACATTGATTAATTAAGTCAATATAATAATTACTGACAGACTCACCCTGAGGCCAGCAGATCACTGACAGGGTTCCAAGCGCAGATGAACACCTCTGACTCATGGCCTCGGAGCACTGTGGCTTTACTGGCTGGAATCTCCACATCTACGTCCAGCTCCATGGGCTCACTGTGGTTGTCTGAGAAAAAGGAGAAAAAGTACTCAAATAAACCATTCAAATGTGACACATGTTTTCAATCTATCATTTCATCTGTTGTTAATTATGATTAGAAAAAGAAAAGGGATTTTTACTAAACATCTAACACACATAAAGAACCATTTCATATTTTGATCATTTCAAACCGACTAAACAATCTGATAATAGAAAACAACCCCATTTATTGGTCCAAAACTGCAGAATTGCACATCTGCCCTGTACACAGTAGCTAGAAAGATAAGATAACATAGACCTTTATTTGTGCCACAATGGGGAAATTACACTAAGCAGTGGATTTTGCCATTTTATTCTGCTGAAAAATGTTGCAGCGTTGTCAAACCCTGCGTGTGTGACCCAGAGTCAGATTTTTGTGCAGTATTGGATATGAGATGGAAACAAAGCACATTTTCCATTTTCTGTCTTGAATGCGGTACAATACAGGATTACTCAATTATACATGAATCACTGAAATACAACTCAAGTAAAACTACAAGTACACCAATGTTGAAAGAACATGGTCCATTTTGCAAAGCATATCTCCTTAGACGTTGTGCCATAGCAGATGTTTATTCAGTATGGGGTTCTTACTTATATGTGTGCCATTCTCTTCCCCGTTGACAGTGGCTTCTCCATTCTTTGGTGCGTTAGCTTGGTTTCCGGAGGTCGATGCAGATATGGCGTTGCTGGGCTGCTGGGCTAACTTATCACGGAACGCCTGCTGCCGAGTCTGCACCACATCGGGCATCACCGCGTCAATGAGAGACAGAGACTCAATGGGCCGACCATCGAATACCGTACCATCCTGTGGGGGAGCCGTTGTTACTCACACATTCAAACATGCCCGTTGTTACGCTGTTTGTACAAATGTATTTACCTCATTGATGCTAATCTCTGCCTCCACATACTGAAGCCCTTTCTGTAGGATGGAGATGAGAGCAGCAGGGGGCACTAGTGTTCCGTTGATGTTGGATTGGCTGATGTGGCTTTCAATGCCAAAGGTGTAGGCTGAGTGGGAGAAACCTGGATACAAGCACATTCACTGGCATAAGTAAGTACACTATGCAGAGGAAAACGAGCATCATAAAACAATAAATGAGGATATGTCTGCGTTTAAAAGAGGCTATAACTGCTGGAACAAAAAGTACTTAGCCGCAGTATGACAAAACCAGAACCAACCTGATTCTTGAAGGTATCTGTAGACCAAGAAATTTACTTCGTCACTCGTAATACTCATCTTAACCCAGCCGGAGAAGGTCTGCCTGATGGATAGGTCCACTCTGGAAAACAAGAGGATGACGATTAGCAGTCCATTTGCACTGAGAGGAGTCTGGCTCACTTCCAATCAGATGTGTCTGTGGTTGTGACATTGATATTTTCTGAGTATATCATTTCTCCCTCTGTCTCCAAATCAAAAATGTTCAAACCGTAATCCAAACCATACTCTACCTTGCTGTGGAACAATGATTTTGGGGGGTCACTATTTATCGTGGGGACTTTTTCTTTGTACTAGTAGGAAAACTGTGGTTATTTTTCTGTTCTATGATTAAATATGAGCCATAGAGGGTTGAATTATGAACTTCTATGACTGATTATACAGACTAACTATGCAAGTGTTGTTCTGTTATTTATTTCTTGCGGTTCATATTTTTTAACATTAAATGGTGCACTGTGTCACCTGCTTGCTTCTATGGATATGTAATTGCTCTGCCTGAATGTTCCACAGTATGACAAACAGTTCTACCTTGTATTTATTCAATTATGGGTGGTTTTATAGTGCAAAAATACCTAGAAAAATAGGTATTTTGACTGTGAGCAGGGTTGTCTCTCCACAGATCTGACCTGTAACTTTGTCTAATTTGATCTCCTTGAAGATAGTAAAATCACTCCGTGAAAAATTCCTCCAGGGAGAAAAGCATTTGACGGACACTCCACCAGAAAAGTTACACAATGCATTTTTAAGAATATTTTTTGTGGTTTAAATCAGCTTCATGGTTTGGTTTTATCGTTTATCGTCTACATTCACTTCAACAATATATCGCACATCAAAATTTTTTATCACGACAGGCCTAGTTGCATACGCTCTCATTCATTCATAACACCAGTGAACTGTGAATCTATAGTGTAGGACTAAAAGTAAGTATTCAACGCCCCCCTTTTCAAGACTAATGGAGGTGTCTGTATCCATTTGGACTTCTTGGTAGTAAGTGGTGCTTCCCATTAGTGACCGGGCCAACCATCTCACAGAAAAGAGCCTCGATAAAGCAGTTAGGATATTAAATGTCAGTCTACTACCCATTGAGTAAATTACACTGAAGAGCTAAGGGCTAATTATGCATACACACACGCATTCTGACCCCTATCTATATTTTCATTACATCATGCTGTTAAAACACTCCTTGCTTTTAGCTATGGTCAGGCAATACTGGAAAACGTGTAATGCAAAAGGTGTAGAATATTGTTATTGCATTACTGTACTTTTTATTATTATTACCATCTACTTCATTCAAATTGTCAATTTATTTAATAGCTAAGACTACTCTAATACTAAAAGAAGCAAAAATTACATTAAAACTAAATCACAAATAACAAAATTTCATGGAGTTATTTAATATTATTCTTCAGCTTTTCTCATAATAGGCCACAAGTAAGACAAGCCTTCGGCAGGATAAACGCTGAATAACTGTACACAACAACAACACATTTCCATTTTGTCCCATCTGTTAATACGTGTTAGAATAGTTAGAACACAACAGCTTTTATTTGGTTTATAAAATACTGAAAAGAGACAATGTAGGTTGCACACAGAAAGGTTTTTTTACATTTGTGAGGCATAGGTTTAAATAATTTAAACAAACAAATCACTGGATAGGACTGAATCATCCCAATATGTAATAATCGCACACCCACTAGGAGCAAAAGGGGGCAATGATATGACAAGACATGATAACAGTGGGATGGTGTGAGGTTTGAGGTCTGCACGGCTGTACACCTGTGTCCAAATCCAGTTCAGACCCACTCAGGTTCCCCTTTGGTAATGTGGTCATGGTAAACAGAGGATTGTGCTGTCCCAATTACCAATGGGCCAGTGCCAGAGGGCTCTAGCAGGTTACTCAACATGAATAATTCACCTTTCCACCTGAGCAGATTGTTTAAGATGGAGTATGTCTTCCCTGCACATCAAATATCCACGTGTTTTAATTAGAGAGGCCTGTCATGATAACACATTTTTAAGTGTGATATATTGCTCAAGTAAAAATAGACGATAAGCAGTAATATTGAAACTAATTTATACCACTGACAGAGTAACCCTAAAGCAGATTTACACCACAAAAACTATTCTAAATGTAAAATATTGTTAAAAAGCATGAGATGCAATAAATAAACCGTAGAATTAAACACTTAAGTACTAGTCTGGATCTGTAATGAGTCATAGAAGTTATTAATTCAACCTTCTACACCTCAAATCAAATCATCAAAATTTCCCAGTAGTGCAAAGAAAATAAGCACAAAATAATCATTGACTCTAAAAACAAATTCTTCCAGCTTTCATACACTGAATAATAAGTCGATATAGTATTTATCATGAGAGGCCTATAATAAGAGATTGATTGATAAGGGTTTTCTTATCGAAATAAGGAAGAAAAATATATGGCATTGATGTTTGGACAACAAAAGTCTTGTTTCACTTCAAACCTGTAAGAGAGGAGTAGTCACATGTGCAGTGCTTTTTTTTATTGTATTACTGTGACCAATTAAGGCTCAGTTTCTTTTGTTTAATTAGTTGGAGAGTCCAAACTAAATATTGGCCTATGTTGGAGATTGAAGGCCAACAGCAGATAAGATAAAATGTGCAACTATCAGCCCATATATCAGCCAACCAATATTATTCCTAGTTTTAATCTCTTCTACAACCCTTCAGCTATTAGAGGGAGTCATTATTTCTTTGTTTATTTGGTAATAAGTTATGTAAAAGACTATCACACCAACGGAAGCAAAAGCCATATGACTGTTTTTTCACCTGAGCCACCATGCCCTGTGCTCCCCACTGCCATCATGTTTTTGTGCACATAATTAGCTTCCACATGGGACCAAGACAGGGTGAGCCACATCAAAGCAGCAAGCACATGGGGCCGCGACTACTACACACTAAACTACTGGAAACATAATTAGCAGGAGACTGTGGGGAAGAGGGCAGCTTTAATCCCTCTCAGATAGGCCTGTGATACCAATCGTTACACAAGCACCGAGAGGCCCAGGTCTGTCACCAAACTGCACAGCTCTGACCCAATATTAACCCAGCAAATGGTTTAAAGGAATAGAAGCTGTTCTCAAAGATATATGCAATCCAACAGGTGTGATGTAGTTCTGAGAGTAAAATACAGCACAGTATTTCAAATTGCAGTGTTCGGCTCCAGTCAAATGAAGCCCATGATGCTCGCAGTTATGGAGCAAATTTGGAGCCAAGTTCCATATTAGGAATAGAAACTAACTTACAAAACAACAAAATAAAAACATGAGGAGCATGTAGAATGGGTTAATATGAACATTTCAAGACCAAATCAAGAGCTTGACAGCAGCAGTTACAGAGAGAGGGGAAATGTTTTCTCAATACAAAGTAAATTGGAACCAAAATCTATGGAGCCGGAAGCGCTCCCATGCTCACTTCCTATTTAAAATGCAGCAGGTAGTGCACTAGCTGTGCCCATTTATATATACAAAGGATCTAATTAAACTTAAACCCTCTTGTCTTGCTTTTATGGGTGCACTCAATACCCTACAGATAATATTACTGACCAAAAATACAATGCATATTGTGAGGGATATTTCTATTGTGTGCATTAGACCATAATTTGCTTAACCAACGAGGGTATTTGGGGTTATTCTGTCAAATGCCACTCTCTTGGCCATCTTAGATTTTATCTCAATTGTTAAAGAAAGAGCTCCTGATTACTTGCATTGAAGATAGTGACAGATTCACAGAAAGTGCCTTGATTGCCCACTTTAGGCCATCAGCATGGTCCACCAGGGCAATGCTTTGTTTTCATGATACTTAGACTTAATTACTGTAAAGGTGGATGTGGGAATATGTTTGGTAGTTTTGAACAGGAAATCAGTGGATGTACTTCTACTATCATTTTAGACAGTAATCACATTATTGTGATTAAAAACCAGTGTTTTTCCCACAGAAAACTGGTTAGTCAAGATGGTGACCGGTGAGGGGCAAGAGTGTCAAAGAGGCCGCCCTAACTATAAAGCACTGCAGGAAACACTGATCTAACTGTACAATAATCCACGTGTATCATAGATTTGAACTATATCAGAAAAAGTCTCTGAACAGGACCAACAGTCCTGTTTTGAACAATATCGATGTCAATGGATCATCAGACAAAAGTTACTAATGTAACTGCAGTTCTATGAATCTCAGATGCTCAAAGCACTGCCCCGTGGCAGTCAGCAAGGATTAAATACAAACTTGCAATTAGAATTACACAGAAAGCTGAACAATTAAAAAAACAAATGTGCAAATACAAGGACATGTTTCCCTCGTAATGACAAACTTTCAATCAGTGCCATTTAATATTAAAATAACAAAATCTCTTTCTCCAAAGTCTGAACTCTGCTCCAAACCACATGCTTTTACAGATAAAGGACTGGCTTTAGACCTTTTGATTAAAAAGGCTCAAGCTGACAAACTGAAAACAACAGGATCTCAGTTAAAATTTGAATATGTGCCATTTAGTTATTTTTAATAATAGATAAGTTGGCACTTTCTTTGTGCACACTGGAGAAAGACAGACGAGACAAACTTAAACATTACAAGTGGAAAGAATAGTGTAATTTCTCCAATGTCATAAATCAAGTCACCATTACACAGGAAACATTGTGAAAGGCTGGAGTTCAGTAAATGACTTTTTGCAACTCCACACAAACTACTTCCTCAAACTAAACGTTATTTAAGCGAATTTGTGAAAGGGCCCAATATTCGACAAGTGAAACTAGAGCACTTAGACATTTTCAGTTAAAAACAAAATCCCTACAAATATCAAATTATTATGACACTTTGCATTCATAAGCTCTTTTTAAAACAAAAATAGTATGGCATCCTTCTTTCAGTCATGCTTGTTATACCAGAGGCCCTCCCTGGAACAGTTCTTGCCATTTAACCAGGCCTGGGACTGGCCTACGTTTCTCTTTCCCTTTTCATCTCTTTCTCGATCAGTCAAAATGCTCCATCCCTAAATAGAAAATGTTTAAAGACGCAGTGCAGCCATAGGAA